CCAAAGTCAGATGCTCAAGCAACTGAGCCACCCAGTGCCCAGTGATGAGCTTTTAAAAAAATAGTATTTTTGTTATATGCTACTAGTAAGTTTAAAACCCTAGATTGTTAGCTTTAGTAAATCAAGGGCTTAGAATAGATTAATATTCTACTTTAATCCTGTTAATTTAGCTTAAACATAAACACGAAATTCTGTTTCTTTTCAACATAAGGGGATTAGAATATCCAGCAGATGTATATTTTGGAGCTTAAGAATATCTACCTCAAAGGGAGAATTTATTCATTATTGGCTTGCTTTAAATAAAACTGGTCTATTGCTGAATTAAATTTCTCTACTACTTGTTACCTATAAAGTACCTGGGGGGAAAGCAACCTAGGAAATAAAGCTCTTTTCCTTTTTTTTCATGGTTCTATAAAATAAATATATACTTAATTTTATTTTGCTTTTTCAAATGCACTTAGAATACAAAAACTTTCTTTTACTCGTCACTTGGAGAGATGAAGAATGAACAACTCAGTCATATTTCAAAATTTAATAGCAAGATAGAAGGGATTAGACATGTAATGAGTTTTAGACTCCTTGGAACACTAAAAACTTCCTATATTTTGATATATGAAAATTGAGGCTATTTTTATATTGGTTCAAATTCTGGTTCTGTCACTTAGTTCTCTGTATAGGGAGGCAAGCTATTTAGCCTTTCAGAGGTTAGTTTCATCTGCAAAATGGAGATAATTCCATCCTCAGAGTGGTTTTGAAAATGAAAAGACTCCGGTCTAGGAACTGATGTACAGTTATATACTCACTAATACTAGAGGGGGCGTGGAAGGTCAATGGTGAAAGGATAATGGAATAGTCCGCACATAAGGAAAAAGTGAAATTAAATCTTGTTCCACACCATTTACTAAAATCAATTCTGGGTGCAATAATAGGCCTAAATATGAAAGATGAAGCTATGTAACTCTTAAAAGAGAGTATCTTCATGACCTTGAGGTAGGGAGGATTTCTTAAGTCTACACAGAGAAAATATTAATCAGAAAATGACAACACATAAATTGACAACAAACTAGTATGTAGAATATTAAGTAACATGTACAGGCCAATAAGAAAAAGATATGGCAATAGAAAAATTGGCTAAAGACCTGAACAATTTCTTTGCCAAGGAGAAACTCTGAATATTAAACATGCAGAAAGTGCTCAGTAGTAATAATAATGAGATACACAATAGACCCATCATACAATTGCTTACCTAGAAGATAGGCCAGAAAATGAAGATATTCTCACACTTCTAAGTATTAGAACAAACAGAGCAACAGAAAAACCAAACTGCTGATACATTTTGAGAAAAGTTTTAAAAAGTTTGTCAGTAAAATTGTTTTTTTAATGTTTATTTTTTGAGAGACCGAGAGCACAAGTGGGAGAGGAGCAGAGAGAGAGAGAAAGACACAGAATCCGAAGCAAGTTCCAGTCTCTAAGCTGTCAGCAAAGAGCCTGATGCAGGGCTCAAACCCATGAAACATGAGATTGTGACCTCAGCCAAAGTTGGAAGCTTAACTGACTGAGCCACCCAGGTGCCCCAGTAAATGAAAAAAAAACAAACAAACCCATAAGCCTGTTTATTTATTTTCGAGAGAGAGTATGTGCACACACACGAGTAGGGGAGGGGAGAGAATCTCAAGTGGGCTCTGTGCAGACCGTAGAGGTGGAGCTTGAACTCACAAACCCCAAGATCATGACCTGAGCCAAAATCAAGAGTCGGATGCTCAACCAACTTAGCCATGCAGGCTCCCTGTCATTAAATTTAAAGAAAGACATACCTTATTTTCAGTTATTATTTATTTTTAATAGTTTGTTTATTTTGAGAGAGTGTGTGTGCAGAGCCCCACACAGGGCTTCAACTCAACAACCATACTCATGAACTGAAATCATGACTTTAGCCAAAATCAAGAGTCAGATGCTTAATCAACTGAGCCACTTAGGCACCCCCTGTTAATGGTATGCCCTACTGACTCACATGTACATTGGCATAAGGATATATTGTAACCTGGAAACACCACAACCTGGAATTTCTCTCGGACGTGATGGATGTTGAACAAAAGAAGTGTAATAAGATTCATGTTACTCCGCTTGTGAAAAGCTTATAAACAGGCAGAAATTAACCAAATTGTTTAGGGGCATGCACTTGCATGGTAGGAACAGCAAAACAAGGACACAATTCTCATAAAAGCCAGAATAGTGAGGGGGCGCCTGGGGGGCTCAGTCGGTTAAGCATCCAACTTCGGCTCAAGTCATGATCTCACGGTTTGTGGGTTCGAGCCCCATGTCGGGCTCTGGGCTGACAGCTCAAGGCCTGGAGCCTGCTACATATTCTGTCTCTTCCTTTCTCTGTCTCTCCCCTGCTAAGCTCTATCTCTCAAAAAATGAATAAACATTAAAAAAAAAACTCTTAGGGGCGCCTGGGTGGCTTAGTCGGTTAAGCGTCCGACTTTCGCTTAGGTCATGATCTCACGGTTCCGTGGGTTCGAGCCCCGCGTCGGGCTCTGTGCTGACTGCCAGCTCAGAGCCTGGAGCCTGTTTCAGAGTCTGTGACTCCCTCTCTCTCTGACCCTCCCCTGCTCACGCTGTCTCTCTCTCTCCCTCCTAGAAATAAATAAAACATTAAAAAAAAATTTAAAAAAACTCTTAAAAAAAAAAAGCACAGTGTTTACTAGGGGAATGGTGAATGGTGGCTAGGGCAGTTCTCCAGGAGGATGGCTCCATCTTATGCTCACTGATTTGGTGGTAGTCACCCAGCTGTTCATTTTATAATGATTCTTTAAACTTGTAGAGAACAAGATGGAGTCACTTATGTCCAGTAATAACCAAGTAGTTAAGGGTACTGCAACAATCGGATATTTGAGGAGACCAGCACTGCTGACTGTACCCCAGAACTGATAACAAGCAGAAGCAGAGGAGCTCTGCAGGGGCCCAAGACTGATTAAATTCCTTTAAAAAGGGAAGATTGGGGCATCTGGGTGACTCAGTTGGCTAAGCATCTGACTTCGGCTCAGGTCATGACCTCGTGGTTCACAAATTGCAGCCCTACATGGGCCTCTCTGCTGTCAGTGTGGAACTCGCTTTGGATCCTCTGCCCCTCCCCTGCTTGTGCACTCTCTCTCAAAAATGAACATTTATCGGATGCCTGGGTGGCTTAGTGGGTTAAGTGTCCAACTTTGGCTCAGGTCATGATCTTGCGGTTTATGAGTTCGAGCCCCGCAAGGCTCTGTGCTGACAGTTCAGAGCTTAGAGGCTGCTTCTGATTCTGTGTCTTCCTCTCTTTCTGCCCCTCCCCTGCTCACACTCTGTCTCTCTCTCTCTCAAAAATAAATAAACATTAAAAAAAATTTTTAAATAAAATTTAAAAAAAAAGAACTTTTAGCCACTGTGTGGCTTAGTAGGTTAAGCATCTGACTTCGGCTCAGGTCATGATCTCATGGTTTTATAAGTTTGAGCCCCTGGTCTGGGTCTGTGCTGATAGGTCAGAGCCTGGAGCCTGCTTGGGATTCTGCATATTCCTCCGTCTGCCCCTCCCCCACTCGCTTTCTGTCAAAAATAAATAAGAACATTAAAAAATAAAAATAAAAAAATTATAGCAAACTGTCAAGACACCTCAGACACCCCTCTCTATATGTAAACACTTCAAAAAGGCAGCTGCTGCTGAAGGCTCTGCCTGATTGATCTCAGAACAAAACTGAGATCCTTCAGTGCTTGAACATAATAAGCGGTAAATGCCGAGAGGTGACTCAACAAGACTGAGGCCTTATCTCAACTGCACACCCACAGACTGACTTCTGATTCGGTTTGTTAACTTCCTACTGGCTGTGTTCTATTTTGTTGTGTGACTTGTTTTGTGTGCCTTGGAAGAAGCCCAGTTAGTCACGTGGTGAAATGTCATTGAGTTTAGAATCCTGAACTTGCTTTATAATTATGTTAACCTTGCTTTATGACTGAGTAAGCCTGACATTGTGGAAAAATACAACTTGTGTTTGCACATTTATAGCATGCTCATGACACTGTATATATATGCTTTATACTTTTTCCTTCATGTATGATTATCTCACAGTAAAGAAAATTAAAAACCAAAAGAAATAAACATAACAAAACTATATTGGTCCAGGCATTGAAGACAAAAACGGAGCCCCATTTTCATGAAGTATCTCTGTTCTTCTGGCTCAGCCACTGTCTTAACAATTGCTGATCTCACTAGGTAAGAGCTTAAGTTTCCCAAACTTAACCTAGTGTCATGTGACCATGTGGGGTTTTTGGGGTTTTTTTGTTTTTTCCTTTTAAATGAGAAAAAGTTAGCTTTATCTCTACACCTCTGACCTTTGATTAGTGTGGCTCTTCCTAGTTTAAACGTCGTGTTTGGGTTGCTTAATTGCAGCAGATTTCTGCCTATTGTTAAATGCTTCAGATTTTCCAAATTCTTCTGCTCCCCTAAGAGTTCGCGAAGAGTGAAGGGAAGCGGTCAGGTGTCTCAGATGAACCCCGCCGCCATGTGGATGAAAACGTTTGCACGTGGCTCGCACCCTTTGGCAAAGCGGCCCCAGTGCGCCTGCGAAGCCCCGGGGTGAGAGGCCGGTGGTCCGACCGGTGACTGGCCTCGGGCTCCTCACGCGGGAGGTGCCCTTCACGCTCCTCTTCCTTCTCCTTTCGGTCTGGCTGAAGGCGAGGAGCTCTGGAGAGGGCGGGTTTCTCTCCTGCGGGTTGCAGGCCCGGCGGCCCCCCGCCCCACTCGCGGCGCCGCAGGACCGCCCGGGCGTCCTCCTGCCGCCGGGAGCGCTGTGGGCCGCGGCGGGCCTGGTGGCTGACGCCGTGGCGGCCGCCGCGCGCCTGAAGGAATCTGCTGGCGGGGCAGAGGGCGTCCCCGCCCGAGACCGCGCCGCCGCCGCCATGGGTAAGGGGAGCGGACTGAGAGCGGACCCTGGGCTCTCCGTCCTAGGCTTGAAGGACGCGGCCGGGCGAGGAGGACTGGTGGTGATGGGCACTGGGGCCTCGGGTCGCAACTGGGGCCCGAGTCAGGGCTGGGGCCTGGGCGGGGACAGCCGGGGACTAGGGGGCGCCGGGATCGCCATGGCAACGCGCGGCCGCCCCTCGTTCCCTCACGACCCCACCCGGGTTCTAGAGCTTAATGGCCGAGGGCTCGTTGTCTGACGACTTCCAAGGGGCGAAGACAGGGTCGACCGGGGGGCCGCTCCCGGGTCGGTGGAACAGCCGCGGACTGGCGATGACTTTTCAGGTTTGGGGGTGGCGGAGGGAAGATGCGTCTCGGGTTTTAGCCTGGGTGCCCGACGCCGAGGGCGGGAGAGGTGCAGCGATGCCGCGCAGGACCTCTGGTGAGCCCTCCGCTGGGGACCTGGGGCGCCCCGAGCCCTTTGGGCAGCCTTATTGCGGGGAGGAAGGGAGGCAGGGGAGGGGCTCTGAGCCTGGGCGAGATGCGGAGACTGGCCCTTGGCCTTGTCGGGGCTGCGACTAGCCGGACACATCTGCGAGCCCGGGCGGGGCGCGGTCGGCGTGTAAACGCTCCCGGGAGACGAAGCTGCGGGCGCCGAGCAGGGACCTGCTTCGGAGCAGCTGTAAAGGCGCCTTTTGTCTGCTTGTCGCTTCGCAAGTTACGGATCGTGATCCGCACTGTTAAGAAAAATGAGAATTGGTTACAGATTATGAAACATCAAGTGGTTTCGCCCCGCCCCCCCTCGAAAAATGTGGGAATCATACCACGATGCAGATTTAAGGAATGATGCGTGTGCAGATTTTCCACCAGTTAGCTTGGTCCTAGCAGTTGTGGGTGTTTTGCATTTTTAGTTGCTTAGAATTCCGAGTCAGGCTTCACCCATAGCTCAGAACTCGAATACTGGATCATTGGGAACCTGGACTTTTGTTCAGTAGAGGAAAAACGGACACTTGGTTCACTTGGACTAGTAGATTTGCCAAGATTATGAAAGGTTATACTAAGTGCTTTCATTTTACTGCACTTCATTTTGTCATCTGTGTTGGCTGAAAATAGTCCTGCCGGTCACAACAGTGGTGAGAGTAGGGGTAAATCTGAATTTCTAAATTAACTAAGAATAAAATTTGTGGGAAAGGAAAAAATAGGTTTTTGTGAATTGAAAATATCAATTAAAAATAATTTTTAAAAAATGTATGTTAACTTAGTTTTTGACTGAATCAGCTATGTGAAAGGGCAGGAAACTTAAATATGAAACAAGAGTCTGCTTTTATTTCCTCTGGGAAAATCAAGGAGTCATGAAATACAGAACTACAGTTGTAGTGAAAAAAACAAGATGAAAAGAGGGCTAAAATTAATGAAAGAATTGAATGGCTTCGCCTGTATCCCCTTATTTGTCTGGTTTTTATTTACCTGTCATATTTATAGATGATACTTAAGTTGTAATTGCCTTTTATTGCCAGTTTATTCTGAACATTTTTTGCCTTGAGATTCATCCTTGGACCTGCTGCCCACCTTTTGCAGAATATGTTGTCTATTACTCAATTCTTAGCTCCACAAGTCATTAAAAACAAAACAAAACTCATTCTCCCTGAAGAGGTATCACAAAAAGTAAAATAAAACCAGAAAATAACCAATTTGCATGATCTTGAGAATAATCCAAAAACTATGTCTAGGGTGGGCATGGTAATGTTCTATGGTGTGTGTGAGAGAGACATAGAAGGCATAGGTTAGGAAGACTAATTTGTCAAGCTAAGAAAAACAGAGCATTGTTTGTTTTGCAGTGGAATGAAAGGGTTTATATATTTTTCATTGTCATGCCTTGCAAATGATGTTGGACTCCTTTCTTGTGCTTTCAGCTACAAAAGACCCCACAGCTGTAGAGAGAGCAAACTTGTTAAACATGGCTAAATTGAGTATCAAAGGACTCATTGAATCTGCTCTGAGCTTTGGCCGCACTTTGGATTCTGACTATCCCCCTTTGCAGCAGTTCTTTGTTGTTATGGAACATTGTCTGAAACACGGTCTTAAAGGTATCATGAGACTTAAAAAAAACCTAACTTTAGAATCCCCTTGTTCCATCTTTTTTTTCCCCCTTGTTCTATCTTAAACATCTTTAAAAATGTGATATTTGTTGATGCCATAATTATTGTTACTTTACACTTGAAAAATACTGGGTGGGTTGGTTTTGGGAGAAAACAGCCTACTACTTTATGTTTTCTAATAAGTTGTCTTCAGAAAATGCCAACTTAGGGGCACCTGGGTGTCTCATTTGGTTAAGCATCTGACTCTGGATTTTGGCTCAGGTCATGATCTCATGGTTCATGAGATCGAGCCCTCCGCATTGGAGCCTGTGTGGGATTTTCTCTCTACCTCTCTGTCTGTCCTTGCTGTCTGTCCCTACCCTGCTCATTTCTCTCTCAAAATAAATAAAAACAACAACAAGGAAATGCCTACTTAGTGTTTTGTAAAAACATTTCTCATTTTTTTTCAATGTATTCTGTAGTGATTTCTGTTTTCTAGAACAATTTTAGGTTTAAAACAATGTTAAAAAATTTTTAAGCTTAGTTATTCCAATATGAAGTCTTATTACTAGTGTCAGCCCTCTTGAACAAATACATTAAAATAGTTGATTATTGGGGCACCTGGGTGGCTGAGTCGGTTGAGTCCCAGTTAGGCTCTGGTCATGATCTTGCGGTTCCTGGATTTGAGCCCCGTGTAGGGCTCTGTGCTGACAGCTCAGAGCCTGGAGCTTGCTTCTGATTCTGTCTCCCTTGTTTCTGCCTCTCCCCCGACTCATGCTCTGTCTGTCTCTCTCAAAAATAAATATTAAAATTTTTTTAAGGGGCACCTGGGTGGCTCAGTCGGTTAAGCATCCAACTTTGACTCAGGTCATGATCTCACGGTTTGTGGGTTCGAGCTCTGCGTCGGGCTCTGTGCTGACAGCTAGCTCAGAGCCTGGAACCTGCTTCGGATTCTGTGTCTCCCTCTCTCTCTGACCCTCCCCTGCTCACGCTGTCTCTATCTCTCTCTCAAAAATAAATAAAACATTTTTAAAAATTAAAAAAAAATAAGTTGATTGCTGAAATATAAACATCCTTGACACCTTGGAAGATGTTTAGAACGATTTTCTTCTGGAATGGGTTATTGTAGAAATGTGAGTGTTCTCTGGAAATGATGGTAATCATGGATATTATATTCTTCTACACAGTTGAATTTATTGTTACTTGTGAAATTTTTATATTTAGTTACTTAATATACATTGTGTAATAACTATTCTTTTACTTATTGTAATAACAATTGTTGGTAGTTTTGGTCTCTGGTTCTTTTGATCAACTGTGTAGAGGGGCTTTGTGAGTAAGATTTTATACAGAACTGACTATTATAATGCAAAAGAAGTAGTGACTATTATAATGCAAAAGAAGCTTGGTTCCCTGTTGGTATACTAGGAACCTGATTAAATTAGTAAGGTCTAGAAGTTCTGACTAAGGTACATGAAAGTGAGGATCAATGTAAACAGCAAAAAAGAAGATTTACATAAACATGGTTTTAATAAAATATACTTCAAATTGAGAAGGAGACTTGGCATCCAAGTACTGATTTCTTTTTTTAATTAAAAATTTTTATTGGTATATAATTAACATATTATTTTCAGGCATACAACATTATGATTTGATTTTTTTTTAATTTTATGTCTTTTTATTTTAGTTTGAGAGACAGAGACAGTGAGTGACTCACAGAGTGAGTGGGGGAGGGGCAGAGAGAGAGAGAGGGAGACACAGAATCCGAAGCAGGCTCCAGGCTCTGAGCTCTCAGCAGAGACCGATGCCGGGCTTTAACCCACGAACCACGAGATCATGACCTGAGACGAAGTCGGAGGCACAACTGACTGAGCCACCCAGGTGCCCCTTGGTTTTTTTTTTTTTTAAATGTATTGTGAACTGACCACCACAATAAGTCTAGTTGATATCTATCACCATACATAGTTACAAGTTTTTTTCTTTTCATGAACTTTTAAGATTTACTCTCTTAGCAGCTTTCAAATATAAAACACAGTATTATTATTATGATAGTCATCATGCTGTGCATTACACCCTTATGACTTATTTTATATCTGAAAGTGTATACCTTATGACTGCCTTTACCCATTTCCTCTACCCCCACCCTCTGCCACTGGCAACCACCAATCTATTCAGTTTTTTATTTTGTTTTTTTTTTTTTTTTTAGATTCCCCTTTTTCTTTAATTGAGGATGTAGTAAATTTTTTCAAAGTTTACTTATTTTGAGAGAGAGTGAGTGTGCATGCAGGTGCATGCAGGGGGAGGGACAGAGAGAGAGGGAGAGAGAAAGGCTTCATCTCACAAAATGAGATCATGACCTGAACGGAAATCAGGAGTTGAATGCTCAAACCACTGAGCCACCCAGGTGCTCTGAAGACAAAGCAATTCTTAAAAATTTCATAAACAGGGGCGCCTGGGTGGCTCAGTCGGTTGAGCGTCCGACTTTGGCTCAGGTCATGATCTCACAGTTCGTGGGTTCAAGCCCCATGTCGGGCTCTGTGCTGACAGGCAGCTCAGAGCCTGGAGCCTGTTTCAGATTCTGTGTCTCCCTCTCTCTCTGACCCTCCCTGTTCATGCTGTCTCTCTCTCTGTCTCTCTCTCTCTCTCAGAAATAAATAAAACATAAAAAATTAAAAAAAAAATTTCATAAACAATAGGGAAATCTCTTTTTGTACAGGAATCAAACAACATAGAAGCACATAGAGCAAAAACTGTTTCCGTCATACTCTTCCTTGTCATTCTTTGAGCTCTTTTCTGTTTTATTTTCTTTTACTATATAGAGGATTATGCTGTAAGTATTATTCTGTGACTTTGTTTTAAAAAATTGATTTGGAGATCTCTCCATTTAGATAGAGATCCTGGGTCAAAGGATATAGGCAGCTGGCCTCTATGAAGCCTTCACTGATTTACCAAACATCAGTGGATGTTAAGTGTTTGTTTCTCCATATTTTTATCTACTCTTGATCTTATCAGTCTCTAAATACTTCTGTCAGTACATCAAGAAGTCACCAATCTGATCTAACACATTAAGGTTTTTTTTCAGTTTTTTAAAAAACGTGTGTTTAGTTTTGAGAGAGAGAGACAGAACACAAGTGAGGGAGGGTCAGAGAGAGAGGGTGACCCAGAATCCGAAGCAGGCTCCAGGCTCTGAACTAGCTGTCAGCACAGAGCCCGATGCTCAGACCCACAAACGGTGAGATCATGACCTGAGTCAAAGTTGGATGCTTAACCGACTGAGCCACCCAGGTGCCCCTTTAATTTGCTTTTTGACAAACTTTTATCTAAAAAAAAATAGCAGTGACCACAACTTTTATTTTCTCCCATGTTGCAGAAATGGAATTTGCAGAATGATGGCCAAATAGTTAAATTTTAAATTCTTCTTCTTTTTTTTAAATAATTTATTTATTTTTGAGAGAGAAAGCGCAAGCACACACATGTAAGCAAGCGGGGGAGGGGCAGAGAGAGAGGGAGAGCGAGGATCCCAAGTAGGTCCTACTGTCAGTGCAGGCCCATCATGGAACATGAGATCATGATCTGGGCTGAAATCAAGAGTCTGATGCTTAAACCCATCCAGGTACATCTAAAGTCAATAAGTTGAATTTATTTTCTTTTACTTTACAAAATATTATTAGCATGTCTGTTAACAGTTATGAATCTATTTTGTGCTGATTGATTTTTACCCCTAAAGGAAAAATTGCTTATCTTGGTTATTGTCCTTGGGTGGTGCATATGATAAGCACCCTTAATCTGCAAGAGATCTGGTCAGTACTAAGAAAGAAACCTACAGTGATTTCATGGTTTTATATTATCCAGTTCTCACAACTTTTCATGTTAAAAGTAAAGTAACTACTTATTTGTCCTTGGTTTATTTAGTAAACTGATAAAGATCAGTTTGGCAGTTTGGCGGCTAGGGCTGCCAAGCTTCTTTATTTTGGTACTGGTAAAGAATAAGCCCAGTTGTGTTTTTACCTCAATTAGCTGCCTGCATATTTCTGATAGGGAAGAACGGCCAAGATGCGTATTTCTGAGAAGGAAAAATATGAGGATCTTGATGAATAGGTTCCTGATCAAGAAAGAGGGCTGTGTGGTGATAAGAGAGGAAAGGTTTCTGAATAATTGTATATTAAGTTAGGAATGTTGAAACTAAATAGTTAAAAGGAAGTTATTACAATTTTGTATGTTGAAGTTGTATGCATTTATATACTTTTTTTTTTCAGTAAGAAAATCATTTTTGAGTTATAACAAAACTATCTGGGGCCCCTTGGAACTGGTGGAGAAGCTATACCCAGAAGCAGAGGAAATAGGAGCCAGTGTCCGGGATTTACCTGGTCTCAAGTAAGTATTGTTATTACTTGTTCATTTCTGACCACAGAAGAATATTTACTGTTTCTTAAAAGTAACTTACACTCTATTATCTTCTCTCAGCTGTAAGTAGCCTTCTTCCATTCTCTTCTAATAAAAGTCTATTCTTTCTTTATGGCTTAGCTCAAATTTCATTTCCTTTATGAGTTGTCTCTTAACCTCTTCATTCTTTTTATGTTTATTTATTTTTGAGACAGAGAGACATAGTATGAGTGTCTCATACTATGAGTGGTGTGGGGCAGAGAGAAAGGGGGAGACAAAGAATCCAAAGCAGGCCCCAGTGCGGGGCTCGAACTCACGAACCGTGAGATCATAACCTGAGCCAAAGTCAGATGCTTACCGACTGAGCCACCCAGGTGCCCCTATTTTTATTCTTTTTTATTTATTTATTATTATTATTTTTGTAAGTAAACTCTATACCCAGTGTGGGGCTCAAACTCATGATGCTGAGATCAAGAGTCACATGCTGTACCGACTGAGCTAGACAGGTGCCACCCAAACCTAGTTTTTAGGGTTAAATAGCAAGTGATGTTCACATTTGATGTTTCTTATAATGATATATTAGGGATAGTGATTTTTAGCAAAGATAGAAGAAAAAGGGAATTACAAGTCTCAAAAAGAGAAATATAAGCAGGGGTGCCTTGCTGGTTTAGTCAGAAGAGCATGAGACTCTTGATCTCACGGTTGTGAGTAGTTCAAGCCCCACATTGGGTGTAGAGATTACTTAAAAATAAAATCTTAGGGGCGCCTGGGTGGCTCTGTTGGTTAAGCGTATGACTTCGGCTCAGGTCATGATCTCGCGGTTTGTGGGTTCGAGCCCAACGTCAGGCTCTGTGCTGGCAGCTAGCTCAGATTCTGGACCCTGCTTCAGATTCTGTGTTTCCCTCTCTCTCTCTCTGACCCTCCACTGCTCATGCTGTCTCTCTCTTTCTCAGAAATAAATAAAAACATTTAAAAAAAATAAAAATCTTAAAAGAGAGAGGAATACAGTATTTGGTAATTTTAATATGAAAATACATGTTCATATGGTTTTTAAAAAGCCTAACTCTAGAAAAGTAAAAAATGTTTTCTGAAGAATGGTATTCATTAAAATGCTAAACCATAAAAAGCTCATTAGTTGTTTGTAGTGAAGATTAACTTTCCTCCCATAATAGCTGCCAAAACAATCTTTGTATAAGAAAACATAAAAGTGTGAATGGTATCTTTCTTTTTAAGAAACCATACATATTCTGTAAAAGTTGCTTTTACTTTTACTAAATGATAGAACTTGGATAATATGTGTGAGATTGAGTTTTTTAGATAACAAGATAGAGAAACTTTTGAAAAATAACAAGCAGCCTGATGATTTCTCTCTAATTACCAGCTTGGTGCCTTCTTAGCTTTTTTATGATTTTTAAAATTCAGATATGATGTCAGTTACTTTTTAAAAATATTTATTTACTTTTGAGAGAAAGAGAGCGTGTGTGCAGGGGAGGGGCAGAGAGAGTTTCAAGCAGAGTCCTCACTGTCAGTGCAGAGCTGGATATGAGCCTTGAACTCCTGAACCCTGAGATTGTGACCTAAGCTGAAATCAAGAATCAGACGCTCAACTGACTGAGCCACCCAGGTGCTGCATAATGTCAGTTATTTTTTGAAGGCATTATACTGCCTTATTTGATGCATTTTGTATATTCATCTCTTTTTTTTTTATTATTACTATTTTTTAAATAACCTGTACACCCAGTGCGGCTCTTGAACTACCTGTAGTGACTAAGCCAGCCAGGCGTCCCTTGCATATTCATCTTTATGGGGTTAGGTCTGTTTGGACAAAATATTTCTTGTAGAAATAGCCTCACTGTTCAGAGTCCTTCCTTCCAACGCATAACATGTTACCGAGATGTCCTGCAAGGTGCAGGTTTACCATAGAGACTTAAATAGCTCCCAGGTATTGGTATCGGTTTGCGTGCTCAAAGAGCTAGGTTAAAACTGTAGAAACAAAGATGAAACCATGATAAATTAAAGTTTTTCTTTATTAATATGTACCTTAACAGAGAGAAAATATGTAGTGTATTATACCATAAGGGTTGGGCCTGTTTTCTGACCAGTGGTTTTGCTTTTTAGGACTCCCCTGGGTCGTGCAAGAGCATGGCTTCGATTAGCCCTCATGCAAAAAAAAATGGCCGATTACCTGCGTTGCTTAATTATTCAAAGGGATCTCCTAAGGTTAGTACCATTAAATTATGTTTGTTTTCATTTAAAATATTTCATTTATATCCTGTTTTCCAAAAAGAATTACAGATGTGGTACAAAAGGAGACATATATAATAAGATGGTATAAAATAAAAGAAGAGCAACATGAGAGAGGAGATCATGGTAAGGGCATAACATGGATGAGGAGCTAGCCTATAAAATGAATAGCATAAGCTTCGTTTTGGCCAATAGGAAGGAACTTTATTTATATGTTATATTTGTAAGTTAGTTTCACTTTTTTTCTAAATTACAGTTAATTCTAAGAATAAAAATTTATGTTGGGATTTGGAGCTTTAATTCAAGAAGTTTCTTTTTAGACCCTAAGCACCTGCTTCACCTGTGTTGTGGGCACTTTTTAAACTGTCAGTTTAAATTGAAGGCCAGATATTTTTAAGCAGACTTTCAAAAATTCAAAGTAAGGTAATCATTTGTTAAAGAGAGCAGCCCATGGCTGTCCCTCTGTTTGCACTTCTCTTGGAGAGCCTCTTTGAAGTTTTGGAGATTCTGGTCATTTCTTTTTTAATGTTTATTTATTTTGAGAGGGAGAAAGAGACTGTGTATGAACAGGGCAGGGAGAGGGTGGGGGGAGAGAGAGAGAATCCCAAGCAGGCTCCATGCTGATAGCATGGAGCTCGATCCCACGAACTATGAGATCATGACCCAAGCCAAAATCAAGAGTTGGATGCTTAACCGACTGAGTTACCCAGGTGCCCCAAATCTGGTCATTTTTGGTTTTACTTATGACTCTGGTTGTACATCTTGTTTTTTTGCATTTCTTAGAATGACCATACTTTGAGTATCAGCAATTTCTCAATAATATTCTTTTTTTTTTTTTTCAAAATTTTTAATGTTTTATTTATTTCTGGGAGAGAGAGAGACAGCGTGAGCAGGGGAGGGTCAGAGAGAGAGGGAGTCACAGACTGAAACAGGCTCCAGGCTCTGAGCTGGCAGTCAGCACATAGCCTGTCGCGGGGCTCGAACCCACAAACCGCGAGATCATGACCTAAGCGAAAGTCGGACGCTTAACCGACTAAGCCACCCAGGCGCCTCATCTCAATAATATTCTGAAGGTCGATGAAAGTGATTACATAATGTAAATGGAACTTCTTGAGGGAGGCATGAGACCATGATAATTAGTTCTATGAATACATAATTGTCAAGTCTTAGTAGTTTTTAGATTGTCCTATTTCTTTCACAGGTCCTTTGTTTGAACATTTTTTAGCATTTAGATATCCATAAGTCTCTTTAATTGATTATTAAGAACACTTGCAATATACATATCAGATATATTGAGTTGAACATGGGCTTTGGAATGTTTCATGTGTTCATTTCCTATCTTAAGTCTTTGTCCCAAAATTCTTAATAAATTCTAGGCTTGAAAAGCCAACTCTAATTAATAAGTATTGTAATCTGATCAGTAATAGTCACTATGTCTTCTGAGAGTCACAGACATTCCAGACCTCAGTGATGCCTCTTTTTCTTTTGATATTTATCTCTTTGCTTCTCCTTTCTTTCTCTGTCTCAAAATTCCTTTTTCTCTTTTCTCTTACCCATTCTTTTGCATTGTCTATATAGACACCAACATTTCCAAATGTTTGTTATTCACATATAGAAAAGCTGATTTGAGGAGACCTAATTCATATTGGTTTCATGTTTGTATTACTAGGCTGAGATTTTAAAACTTATGTATGAAAGATATTTGTGTTTTAAAGTTTTTATTTTAATTTCCACAGTGAATTTTATGAGTATCATGCACTAATGATGGAAGAGGAAGGAGCGGTGATTGTTGGGCTGCTGGTTGGCCTGAACGTGATAGATGCTAATCTCTGTGTAAAGGGAGAGGATTTAGACTCACAAGTAAGTGAAAGCGATGAGTACCAAATGCAGAGAATTGTTAGTTTGTGCTGTTCCTCTTGGATCCAGTTTATGACTCTTAAGTTTTAAGCAGTGCTGTTAAACACAAAAGAAAAGAATGAAATTCAGTTGCATGTTAAATGTACTTGTAATATTTCTCCCCTTTAAATAAAAATAACATTATTTACTTTAGGTTGGAGTGATTGATTTTTCCATGTATTTAAAGAATGAAGAAGATATTGGAAATAAAGAAAGGTACGATTTTCATAAGTTATTTCACGTGTATTTTCTTACAAATACAAGTTTTCTTGTAAAGAAGCTCTTTACCAATCACCATGGGGTCCATCTACTGATAATGTTGTTATTTCTTTTTTTGTGTGTGTAGTTCCTGCTTTATTTCCATATACAAGTTTCACAAAGCAAAAATCACTTAGAAGGAGGCTTTAATGTGAGGTATGACTTTTGGTCACACCTGTTCCTGAGACCCATTTAATATTCAGCTGTTTTTTGTGGTAAAAGAGATACAAACTTATTCACAAGTTTACAAATGCTGGTTTATTTCAAAATCTGTGTTTAAATTTAAAATATACTTATTCCAGCTAAGAGAAAGGATAACTACATAGCATAATAGAGTTGCTAATTATTGCTATATGGCAGTCATATCAGAAATTTATGTACACTTTAAATTTATGGTTATATGTCAACCCTGGCCATCAATGGGGTGACAGATGTCGCAGCCAGATTGCCCTCATATCCCAAATATATTTCAATAAAAAATATACCGATGCAAAAAAATTTAAAAAATTTTTTTTAATGTTTTATGTATTTTTGAGACAGAGACAGATCATGAGCTGGGGAGGGCAGGGGGAGAGGGAGACACAGACTCTGAAGCGGACTCAGGCTCTGAGCTATCAGTCCAGAGCCTGATGTGGGGCTTGAACAAATGAACCATGAGATTATGACCTGACGCCTAACCAACTGAGCTATTCAGGCACCCATCTTTTTTATTTTTATTTTTTAATGTTTATTTCATTTTTGAGAGAGAGAGAGACAGAGCGTGAGCAGGGGATGGGCAGAGAGTGAGGGAGACACAGAATCCAAACCAGGCTCCAGGCTCTGAGCTTTTAGCACAGAGCCTGACATGGGGCCAGAATTCATGCACCACCAGATCATGACCTGAGCAGAAGTCAGCGCTTAACTGACTGAGCCACACAGGAGCCCCAATGCAAAAATAATTCTTAAATATACTTTTTAATGGTATTACTAAATAGATTACTTGTTAATACTAGACTTAACAAAGGTTGTAATTAGTACACAGCTTACTGCCTCCTTAATATAAAGGTTCTTGAATTTTATTTTAAAAGTAAGAAATGTAGGGTGCCTGGGTGGCTCAGTCTGTTGAGCATGCAGCTTAGGCTTGGGTCATGATCTCAGGGTTTGTGGGTTCAAGCCCCATGTTGTGTTCTGTGCTGACGGCTCAGAGCCTGGAGCCTCCTTCAGATTCTGTGTCTATCTCTCTCTGCCCCTCGCCTGCTCACACCTTGTCTCTGAGAAAATGAATAAAAACATTAAAAATTTTTTAAAAAATAAGGCAAGGTCATGTTTTTTTGCCATTATGTTTTACCACAGTTTTAGGTGATATAGACATTTGTGTAGTCATCCAGTGAGTATCTTCAACTGACACAAATCTACTTTTCACCCTCTTTAGGAATGTTCAAATCGCTGCCATATTAGACCAGAAGAATTATGTTGAAGAACTAAATAGACAACTGAAGTAAGTATTATGGATACTTGAATACTTAGTACATTTATAACTATTGTCTTAGGGGTTTTCTTCATCCTTTTCAGGTCAGTTTTACCCTATTCCTTCCTACCAAACATCTTTGAGATTAGGTTGTGGAAGTAGAGAGTGGAAATTAAGAATACAGAGAATTATTTAAAAAAAATTTTTTTAAATGTTTTATTTATTTCTGAGAGAGACAGCATGATCAGGGGAGGGTCAGAGAGAGAGAGGGAGACACAGAGACCAAAGCAGGCTCCAGGCTCTGAGCTGGCTGCCAGCATAGAGCCAGATGCGGGGCTCGAACCCACGAACCATGAGATCATGACCTGAGCCGAAGTCGGACGCTTAACTGACTAAGCCACCGAGGCGCCCCAAGAATACAGAGAATTCTTGGAGATAGTTAATTTTCAGTAAAAAATGAATCATTTTCATATTGGACCTTTAGAGAATTTAAAGATAGAGTTTTTGAAGAGGAGTAAAAAAAAATAAAGATATAATTTCAGGGGCATCTAGGTGATCAGTTGGTTAAGTGTCTCACTGTTTAAAATTTTTTGTTTTTTATTTTGAGAGAGAAAGCGTGCGCATGGGTTGGGGCAGAACAGAGAGAGAGTACGCATGGGGTTGGGGGGAATTCTAGGCAGGCTCTGCAGTATCAGCACAGAGCCCAGTGTAGGGCTTGAACTCACAAACCATGAGATCATGACCTGAGCTGAAATCAAGAGTCTGTCATTCAACCAGCTGAGCCACCCAGGCACCCCTAAGTGTCCCACTCTTGATTTTTTGTCATGACCTCACAGTTTGTGAGTTTGAGCCCTACGTCTGCACTGTCAGTGCAGAGCCTGCTTGGGGTTCTCTCTCTCTGTCTCTCTCAAAACAGTTAAACTTAAAAAAAAAGATAAAATTCCAAACTTATCCCTGTACCTTGAGAAAAAAAAGCTCAATATAGTGGAAGTTTATATCATTTTCATGGTTCAAAAATTCATTTTTCCTACTTCAGTGAGCTTCATGTTTAAATGTGGCTGTTGCCTCCCATGGTGGAAGTTTTTTCCTCACAGGGTCACCTGGGCATTGAAGCTGTCGATGAATACTCTGGGAAGAATTTCTGAGATCTGTATGTAAGATAGTGTAGTGCAATTCTGTTTAATAGAAGTTTAATTAATTATATTTATATATATTTATATAGAAGTTTTATTTTATTTATATAAAAATAAATAAATTATATTTATTTATATTTAATAGAAGTTTAATTATCTGTGAGTCATACAGATAATTTAAAATTTCTAGTAACCATATTAAAAAGAAACATGAAATTATTTTAAAAATGTATTTTATTCAGTCCAGTATATACCCAAAATTTAACATTCAGTACAAAAATTTTTCATGAGATATCTTATATTCTTTTTTGTATTGTTTTTTACAATCCAGTTTGTAATTTACACTTAACGACACTTTTCAGTTTGGACAAAACAGCACAGGTATAGTGAGGAATATTTGCTGCATAGTTAGAAATGGACTGTTCCTAGTAATTAAAAGGACTAGCCAAAATGGCATTCTCTGGGTGATGGGATTATGAATAATTTTCTTTTATTCTTTCTACTTTTCTGATTTTCTGTGTTTCAGTAAGGAGAAAATACAATTAAACATTTTCCCATTAAAAAAATTTTTTTATAGTTTTTATTTTTGAAACAGGGAGAGACAGGACATGAACCAGGGAGGAGCAGAGAGAGAGAGAGAGACACAGAATCTGAAACAAGCTCCAGGCTCTGAGCTAGCTGTCAGCACAGAGCCTGACGCGGGGCTCGAACCCACGAACTGTGCAATCATGACCTGAGCTGAAGTTGGACGCTTAACCAACTGAGCCACTCAGGCGCCCCTAAATTATGTGTATTAAATCATTCACAGCAATACTGGTGCCTTATTTTTGTACATTTTATGTATTTAAAAATGTTTCATTGTTTTTCTAATTAGAAAGTTTTTGTATATTTAGAATATTTCAAAAATATAGAAAATTGATATAGGAAAAAATAGAACTCATATTATCCTTTATTCAAAAAAAACCTCTATTGAGGGTTTTTTTTTTTTTAATTTTTAAATGTTTTTTATTTATTTGTGAGAGAGAGAGAGAGACAGAGAGAGACAGACAGCGTGAGCAGGGGAGGGTCAGAAAGAGGGAGATACAGAATCCGAAGCAGGCTGCAGGCTCTGAGCTAGCTATTAGCACTGAGCTCTGAGTTAGCTGTCAACACAGAGCCTGATGTGGGGCTTGAACCCCCGAACTGTGAGATCACGACCTGAGCCGAAGTCGGACTCTTAACCGACTGAGCCACCCAGGCGCCCCAAGGTTTTATTGTTTAAAAGTGCTTTTTGAGGGATACCTGGGTGGCTTAGTCAGTTAAGCATCTGACTGTGGCTTATGTCATGATTTCAGTCTATGAGTTCAAGCCCCGCATTAGGTTCTGTCTCTCTCTCTTTCTCTGTGTCATTTATTTTAATGTTTATTTTTGAGAGACAAAGACAGAACATGAGCAGGGGAGGGGCAGAGAGAGAGGGAGACACAGAATCACAAGCATGCTCCACGCTCTGAGCTGTCAGCACAGAGCCTGATGTGGGGCTTGAACCCACAGACCGTGAGATCATGACCTGAGCTACAGTCAGACGCTTAACCGACTGAGCCACCCAGGCGCCCCAAAAAGTGCTTTTTTGATTAATATTTTATTGATTCCTACATAAAAGGTAGGGCAAATATTATTGCCTGATTTATAGATAAGGAAACTAAAGCTTAGAAAGGTTTTACAGCTTTCATGGTGACACAGGAAGTAGAAAACTTTGGTCTTCTGTCTCTTAGTCCCATACCTGTTACATCTCACCATCCAGATACCCTGGTGGTGTTTTTGAAAAACTCAAGTTGTTTACCTGAGAATGATTATATTTAAAAATGATTAAATATGAATGAAAAAACATTTTTCTTGTTTCACCAGTTAAGGTAAAATGCCAATATTTATTTCTTAGGCTGGTATAAAATGTGTTGAAATTTGTTAGAGATTTTGTTGTAATATATAATAATTATGTCTTATTAAAGAAAGTGTGAGATAGTAAAATCAAGGCCTTGAAAAATAGACTCAATTAAATGTACAATAATATTCAGTCTTGATCAGTTAAATAAAAATGCAAAACACCGTTGTTCATGTGGCATAACATGACTTTTCACTATATCCTTGAAAGTCAGGGTGTTTTCTTAGCTGCAGGCTGACCAGGTACCTGATGGGTATTCAATATTCACAGTTCTCAAACTATGGGTGACTGTAGAGGTCTTTAAGTTGTTATGAAAGTGGATAGGGGAACAGAATGAAGGGTGTATTGGAGACCACTGTATAAGCTTCATTCAGCCACTTAATTATAAAGTAGATATTTAAAGTTCATCCATTAAAAAATAATTTTGAATTTAATGTTAACACTATTTGATAATCTTTGTATGGAATCCATTCCTAAGTATTATAAATTAAATGTATGAAGGAGTTTAAGAAGACAACAAAAAATAATGAGTAGCATAAAGTGTATTTTAATAGAGTGATTCTTTTTCTACAGTCTTTATTGCTGTCCTAGGCAAATGAAGTTATCCAACTTAATGAAATTTCTCACACTCAAAAATTCAGGGCTATGTGTTAACTAGTCAGAATTGAAATAAAAACTTTTCAAAATAGAAACAAAACAAGGACAAAAAGGATTAAACTTCAGGAAAAAAAACTCAGGGCAATTGATACTTGTTAGTATAAAATACCTTTTTTTTTTACCTTTGTGAGTTTGTGTGATTTGAATGAATTTTTTCTTTATTAATTTCAGCAGCACAGTCAGCAGTCTCCATTCAAGAGTTGACTCATTAGAAAAGTCAAATACTAAGCTGATTGAAGAGGTATTGTAACCCAGCCACGGATAATTGTCTTTTATGGACCTACTATTTGTGAACCTTTTCCATTTTAAGTATGAATACATTAAACATGTGCATGTGCACAGGCACATTTTTATCATTATGGAGTATTTGCAGTGTTGTTGTAATTGATGATTGTAAGTTCTAGAGAAACCACGTATTCTCAGGCAAATTCTCAGGTCAGTCTGTGAGTCGTTTGACATACTTCTAGAAATGAGTTCCAAAGATGTCACTCCTATAAGCTCTTCTATGAATAAATGTGATTCTCATTGTAAAATCTGGATGACCTGTAGGTAGTGACTCACCTATAGTTAGAAATTTCTGTCAAAGTGATACTGTCCCTCTTTTTCTATGATTCACATTCCTTTTCTTACCAAGCACCACTACGTGATCGTGCCCACCCTTTTTCCACCCCTCCCAAGTATGAAACTCATCCCATCTGTTCTGGTTTCCTTCATTGTCAAAATGGCTGGCTATCTGGTGGTCCCAGAGCAGAAATTTATCTCTGCTCTTTTTTTAATACTGTTTGTAAAGTTACTTTAAGATAAGTTTTTTTTTTTTTTAATCAGAGTTACTGCTTTGTATTTTCAGAATTATTTAGGGTAGGAGGAAGAAATCTGTTATGAGTGCTGTGAACCCTACTTTCTATGTTAATTAAAATCCTTATTTTAGAAGTGGCCTAATTTTTCCAAATCAGAGAGCACATGATTATTTGCATGATTGCAGTTTAGAATCCGTCTTTATTTTGATATTTTGGGACCGTTTGATAGTTTTGTGGGTTTTTTTTTTCTTTAATCTTAAGTGTATTCATTAATTCCCATCGCCTATTTCACTCTTCCCCCCACCTACCTCCCCTCTGCTAACCATCAGTTTTTTCTCTATAGTTGAGTTTCTTGATTTCTCTCTTTTTTTTTTCCTTTGCTCATTTGTTTCTTAAATTCCACATGAATGAGATCATATGGTATTTGTTTTACTCTGACTTATTTTGCTTAGCATTGTACTCTGTAGCTCTATCCATCATGTCATTGCAAATTGCAAGATTTCATTCTTTTTTATGATTGAATAATATTCCACTGCATATATTATACCATTTTTAAAGTTTTATTTTTTATTTATTTTTAAATACAATTTATTGTCAGATTGGTTTCCATACAACACTCAGTGCTCATCCCAAGAAGTGCCCTCCTCAATGCCCACAACTCTTTTTTTAAAAATGTATTTAATGTTTATTTTTGAGAGAGAGAGAGAAAGAGAAAGAACACGAATAGGGGAGGAGCAGAGAGAGAGGGAGACACAGAATCTGAAGCAGGCTCTAGGCACTGAGCTGTCAGCACAGAGCCCAGTGTGGCTTGGAGTTGTGAACTGCAAGATCGTGACCTGAACTGAAGTCGGATGTTTAACCAACCAACCCAGGCACCCCATATACCACAACTCTTTTATCCATTCATCAGTCAAGAGATACTTGGGCCACTTCCGTAGTATGGCTATTGCAAATAATGTTGCAGTAACCATAGGGATGCATGTATCTTTGAATTAGTGTTTTTGTATTTTTTTTGTAAATACCCAGTAGTGTGATTACTGGATGGTAGGATAGTTCTATTTTTTAGTTTTTGAGGAACCTCCATACCGTTTGCCCCAGTGGCTGAACTAGTTTATATTCCTACCAACAGTGCATGAGGGTTCCTTTTTCTCCACATCATTGTAAACACCTGTTGTTTTTCGTGTTTTTGATTTCAGCCATTCTTAACAGATGTGAGGTTATCTCATTATGGTTTTGATTTGCATTTCCCTGATGATGAGTGATGTTAAACATCTTTTCACGTTTGTTGGCCATCAGGACCATTTGATAGATAGATTGGGACCATTATAGAGAGCTGCTTACTAGTTTGTGCCTCTTCTTAGCCTTTGGTGTACTGTAAAGTTCAAGTTATATCCCTGATGAAGTGTTCAAAAATTTATGTACAAACCAGCTTTAGGGATAGTCCCTACTTTCCTTTCTTGGAGTCCCTCTTTTCACTCTAGGTGTCAGAACCAAGCCGCTCAGTCATTCATGTTTACCTCTGATGTTGAGAAACGTCTCATATTTGTGATGGTCACTCAGTATTTTTCCTATGTTTCAGCGAGTGTCCTATTTGGTTATCGTGAAGGTCTGTATCACATTTTCAATGAAAGCACAGCCTTCTTTCCTTATAGATCTTGTCTTTACACAGGTCTTTACAGTCTTATTGTTTCCTGGAATTTTGTATTCAGTAAATATTATAAGTCAGATAAGCATAATATGTTTTAGCTAACATTTTGACTAATAAAAGGCAATACTAGGAATAAGAGTATACTTTTTTTTACTGGTATCTTGGGATAACAGCACATTTTTCTTATGAATACTTCTGTAGATGTGAGACATTTGACTAGCTTTAGGATTTTATATTTTGTTGTTTATAGCCATGAACATAGCCTGTAAAGCAAGTATAAGTAATAGTGTTTAAATTTTTTTCTTGCCCTGTTCTGTAATTTTTAGTTAGCAATAGCAAAGAATAATATCATTAAACTCCAAGAAGAAAATCATCAATTACGAAGTGAAAATAAATTGATTTTAATGAAAACACAGCAGAACCTAGAGGTAAGTATAGACTGCAAACAGACCATCTTGGGTCAGAAATTGCCACTTTGGGGAACTTTTGCATAGACTGGATATTTATTTCTCGGCTGTATTAATAGTAGTGATTACATAGTAAAAACTTCTATATTTTCTTCCTAGGTTACCAAAGTAGATGTGGAAGCTGAGCTTCAAACATATAAGCATTCTCGGCAGGGGCTTGATGAAATGTATAATGAAGCCAGAAGGCAGCTTCGAGATGAATCTCAGTTAAGACAAGTAGGTATTATTAGCAAAAAATAATTATAATAATTTACCCTTTAGCAAGTACCATTTAAAATCTCTTTTTAAACCTTATCTTCCTTGGTGTGGGATAGAAATTTCACCCCCTTACAACTCCCTCAAATTCTTTAAGCTCCCACTTTATCAATTGCTTTTTAAAAGTGTTCTTAAAATTTTTTTAAAGTTTATTTATTTATTTTGAGAGAGAGAAAGAATCCTAAGCAGGCTCTCTGCCGACAGTGTAGAGCCCGATGTAGGGCTTGAACTCATGAAACATGAGATCATGACCTAAGCCAAAACGAAGAGTCAGACAGACACTTAACCAACAGAGCCACCCAGATGCCCCTTTAAAGTGTTTTTAGGGGCGCCTGGGTGGCTCAGTTGGTTAAGCGCCCGACTTCGGCTCAGGTCATGATCTCATCGTTCCTTGGTTTGAGCCCTGCATTGGGCTCTGTGCTGACAGCTAGCTCAGAGCCTGGAGCCTGTTTGGAGTTCTGTGTCTCCCTCTCTCTTTGACCCTCCCCTGTTCACGCTGTCTCTCTCTCTCTCTCTCAAATAAATAAATAAATAAAAACATTAAAAGAAATGTTTTTAAACTGGGGTGCCTGGCTGATTAGGCTAAGCATCCAACTTAGACTCAGGTCATGATCTTGCAGTTTATCAGTTTGAGCTCCGAACTGGGCTGAGTGCTGACAGCTCAAAGCCTGGCGCCTGCTTAGGATTCTGTGTCTCCCTCTCTTTACCCCTCCCCAGATTGTGCTATGTCTCTCTCTTCCCCTCTCTCTTTACCCTTCCCCAGCTTATCCTATGTTTGTCTCTCATCTCTCTCAAAAATAAACATTAAAAAATAGTTTAAAAAATAGTTTTTAAACTGTTATAATCTGTGAAGTGAGTGGATTGTGACCAGCATTAAAAAAATGAAATAGAAAAAAAAAAAAAAATGAAATAGAATAGAATGATGTATTCAGATATGAGTAAAATCATATTTAAGTTTTTATTTATTAAAAAAAATTTTTAATGTTTGTTATTGAGAGAGAGAGAGCACGAATGGGGGAGAGGCAGAAAGAGAGGGAGACAGAGAATCCGAAGCAGGCTCCTTTCTGTCAGCGCTAAGCCTGATATGGGGCTTGAACCCATGAACTGTGAGATTGTGACCTGATCCGAAATCAGACACTCAACCGACTAAGCCACCCAGGCACCCCAAGGTTTTATTTATATATTTATTTGAGAGAGAGCACCAGTTGGGGAGGGGAAGAGAGAGAAGGAGAGAGAGAATCTTTAGTAAGTTCCACATTATCCCCACAGAGCCCCATGTGGGGCTCAAACCTATGAACCACGAGATCATGACCCAGGCTGACATCCAGAGTCATAAGCTTGAACCCACAAACTGTGAGATCATGACCTGAGCCAAAGTCGGATGCTTAACTGATTGAGCCACACAGGCTTCCCTCTGATGTAAAATTCTTAAAGAGAGGAAGAAATTAAAACTGTGAAGTGAGATTTTTGAGTTACTTTTGGCCTTCACTTTTACTGACTCCTTTTTTTCTTTGGTTAAGAAAAATTAATACTAAATTTATGAGGCCTAAAAATACTGAATTCTTGAAACTAGTGTAATAGTGATAATTAACAGAATATAGAAAATGCTTTCATTTTAGCAAAATATGCAGTTGAAAATATTTAGAATTTTATTGGGGTGCCTGGATGGCTCAGTCGGTTGAATGTCTGACTTTGGCTCAGGTCATGATCTCATGGTTTGTGAGTTCAAGCCCCACATAGGGCTCTGTGCTGACAGCTCAGAGCATGGAGCCTGCTTGGGCTCCTTGTATCCTGTATCTCCCTCTCTCTCTCTTTCCTTCCCTGGCTCATGCTCTCTCTCTCCCACAAAAATAAATTTTAAAATATTTAAAAATATTTACAATTTCATGTTGTTACAGGACCTGGTTGATTCCCTTTAGTGGGGCTTATACCTCAGAAGAGTACTATGCATATTGAATAGAAAATTCTATTTTCTCATTAACTATTGTTCTCATGACCTGTTGTGTGTCTGATTTTTGACATCCTGAAGTGGTGTGTGAATTGAATATATGTTGAAATTGCAGGATGTAGAGAATGAGCTAGCAGTACAAGTCAGTATGAAACATGAGATTGAACTTGCCATGAAGTTGTTGGAGAAAGATATCCATGAGAAACAAGATACTCTGATAGGCCTTCGGCAACAACTAGAGGAAGTTAAAGCAATTAACATCGAGATGTATCAAAAGTTGCAGGTAAGGATCATTCTTAAATTCTTGGAATTTGTTGAGTTGAATGGAATTGAAAATGACTATATGAAGAATTTGGTTTTTAAGGGATGAGTCATTTTAACTGTGTCAATGTTGGTAGTAAAAACCAGTGACTTTTTATTCAAGGTTAAGAAATGGAACACTGGATAAGGTATCAAAGAACAAACAAAATCACCTATCTGATTTCCTTTTTAAATGCCGAAAAGTTAAGTATGACAATTAAATCTTTGGGAAAATTCAATCTAAATATGCAGGACATTTTTGTGAATTCTTTATACAATGTAATCCTGAGAAAGATTTAATTTTTTTTTAAGATTTAATTTTTTTTAAGTAATCCCTACACCTAACAGGGGCTCATACCACCCAGATCAGAGTCACACAGTCTACTGACTGAGTTAGCCAGGGACCCCAAGAAAGATTTAATTTTAATTGAAATGCTTTACTACAATAATTGTTATGGATTCTCTCATAAAGTGACATCACTATTTAAGTAGATTTGTTGCCAAAGCTCTTTACTATTTAATTTGAAATATTTTACATTGAAACTATTTTACATAGTTTATAGAGTTTATTTTGTAGTCTTCCAAAAACACCGAAGGCAGAGTGTGTGTGGTTTTTTTCTTTATTACATTACATTTTAATCGCAGACTAGTAGTCTACTGCTTTACTTTAAATCATAGAAGTATTTTGATCTACAACTTAATTCTGTTCATTTCAAAGTAAAAAATTCCATAGTGAAATGGCATATAAAACCTAAAAGTATTATTCAGATTTGAAAATCAAAGCCACTATAGTTTTTCTTTTTTCTAAATAGAGTTCTGAAGATGGCTTGAAAGAAAAAAATGAAATAATTGCCCGACTAGAAGAAAAAACCAATAAAATTACTGTAGCTATGAGGCAGCTGGAGCAAAGGTACAGCACTTCCAGTCTTAGTTTCTTTTTTTCCTTTTTTCTCCCTTTTCTTTATTCAACTCTGACACCTGCCACAAAAACCATTAGGAAAATTTAGATTAGGAACTTTTTTTTGTCTAGTAGGATTTTGCCTTTTTTGTTTTGGTTGTTGCATGGAATCAAGTTGCTTTATATTAGGCTGATTCATTTGAATTTACCATTTTGTGGATTTTTTTTTTAAAAGGTCTAATATTGGCAATTTCATGTGGTTCTATCTATTACATAAAACAGATATGCAAGCAAAAACTTTAAAAAAGTGAAAAACTAACAAAATCTATGGTGGAATTATCCCTGATTGATTTCCATGCATATTGATTGTCATATCCTTTGTCATTCACCATCTGTTTATCTGAAATTAGGTTTTGAGTTGGCAGTTTAGTTGTGTTTCTTTGAGCTAGGACCCTCAACCAAACCAAGAAATAATTTTATTTAAATTGAATTGTTTTATATTGGCATTTTTCACTTCTATTGTTGGAAAATGTAATGTATTTCCATTGATCTGTCATGTTGGTGTCAACATATGTCTTACCATTGCTTTCTTTGAACCTACTTATGAAAAACATAACTATTAATGCTTTATTGACATGAATATTCTTTTATTGACATCCTCTTTCTTCTTTTTTCTTTTTTGTTTTCTTTATCCCCATTTTTACATTTTGGACATCTTTATTACCTTTTTCTGTCTTTGATTTCTGTCCATTCCATTATGAAGTGACAATGATTTGTTAACTCAAACTAGGACAATTGCAATGTCATTGGTGAAATATGCCAGCAGTGACACTCAGGACCAGTACAAGCTGGTCAAAGATATATCTTTCTGAAAACCACTTGTATTTAAACAGACTAAAAGAGAATCAGCAATTTTATAATATATTAAATAGAAAATAATTTATGCTATTAAGTATTTGAAAAGGGTATTAGGAGCCCCATACACCTCTTGATCAGCTGCTGTGGTAATACACTGCCATAAAGCAGAGTGGGTGCACTTGGATTTCCAAAAACACATTCCTCAAACCTTGTGCACAAGGACTGATTTGAGTATTGACCTTTTGGAGGTCAGGATTTTCAAGTGCAGTTTTATCTTTTTAGCTACTTTTTGATGGAAAATATAAACATTGTTTCAAAATAAGTTAACGTTTGGTTTCACAATGTGTTGGCACAAATTTTTTCCCTGTTGGCCCACTCTTTGCCTAATGGCTCGTTTACTGATTTTTAAATATGTTTTAAAATAGTTTATAACCCAGATCGGCCATTCTCTTGTGCTTTAGCAGCTCAGTTTTCCAGTTCCCTTAGCCCTCTTCTATGATAGCACAACTTGAAGCCCTACCTCACTGAATTTTATTTCAGTTTCTGTAATCTTAGAGAAATGCACTCCTGTCCTCCCACCTTAATTTTTAAATTTAGATTTAGAGATAACTTGAATGTTACTCTCTTTTGCTTAGCAGTAGCATTTATACTCCTAAAATGTGTCAGGGTTGCCCCATTGGTATGGTTTTAGGAAGAAAAGAGGCAGTTTTTTGGCTAGTTGAATAGAAATTTTGCAATGATTCCCTATGAGGAGTTCATGTCTCTTGAATATGTGGGAAATGTTTTCTTATAAAAATATCAAAGTTAAATCTAAGAAATCCTAGATGGGCGTCAGGGAGTGGAGCTAAGCACAGGGAGAAGCAATGACTTAAAAACAGCAAATGAGAATCACATTTTTAGCTAATTTTTAAATGTCATTGATGAACAAAAATGATCTCTAGAGAATGTTGCCAACTAATACCATATTTTGAATCTTAACACACACGTGTGCACACACACACAGTGCTTTTGGCATAATTTAGTAAATGCATAAAGATCCTACAGGGAAGACTTGGCTGTTATTTGAAGTAATTGCAGGTGATTGCCCTTGGCCTTGCAGCACATTTGATTCCTGGCATACACATCCTAGCACAGTAAATAACAAATGTGGCTTCTTCACTTAGTGCAGACATAAATACTATGCTTTACATGGTTTTGTAAAAAGACAGTAATGCACCTATTATACTTTCAAAGTTGATTCATTATGCTCTACATAAATGGTAAAGGCTGTATTGCTTTGCATTGTTAATTATGAACAAGAAATAAAACAAATTTGAAGATAGTATTCCGGGCATATTATATGTTATGTTGAAAAAAATCACAAAACAATTTCTAGACATTGTGTGGCTCTTTCACGTTTGAGTTTGTGAGTTTCCCCCCAAACTTTGTTTTCATTTAGAAATGTTTCTATTTCCCCATTTTTCTTTTATTTGTCTTCTTCACCCTTTTACACCCTAGTTCTAGCCTCAGTTTTACCCAAAGTTGATTTGAATTACACCAGATTGCAGCAAGCAGAGAAGGCACAAATGGAAGCTGAAGATGAAGACAAGAAATATCTACAAGAGTGTCAGAGTAAATCCGACAGTCTGCAGAAACAAATCTCCCAAAAGGAGAAACAGCTGTGAGTATTTCACTCTTGGAAACAAATACTTGTATTAACATAATCCCCACTGCCCGTTTTTGCACATCAAGGTGGGATACCTATATTTTTGTTTGGTTAATGATGCCAGCTAGATTGTGGAGTTCTCCTTGAAAAAAAATTAGAAAACATAATTATGATAAAACTTATGTTTTCAGATACTGAGTGTAATATTATGACCTTTATAGCTCAAAAGAACTTACGTTATCGAAGAACATGTTTTCTGAGAACATTTTTATTAGTACTTCATATGATAGATCTGTATATCACCAACTAGGAAGAAAGGATGTCAGTATATGTCATTGGACTGAAGAAAAAACAAGTTGCAGATACTTTGCGAAATACTCTATTTTTTATAAAATTAAAACCATGCATATGTCTATATTTATATATATAAAGAAAAGAGTTTTAAGAATTCAGATTCTGGTGAATGATTATCTCAGGGGAATGATGGCAGACTGACAGGCGTATTTTAGTTTGTCCTTTATAAAAATCAGCATTTTTTCCCCAGTAAATATGTATGACTTTTGTTATTAAAATTAAACAATAGAAAATATTCTGTATCATATTTAATAGATCATTAAGACCACATGCCATTTATGATGTATAATTTGTTGAGCTGCAAGATTCCTTGATTGAGGTAATGTTAAGTTCTCTATTCTTGCTTATTTTCTAATAGTTCTGTCAGTTATCAAGAGGGGATTTCTTGAATATCCGATCTATAATTGTAGATAAGGGTATTTCTACTTTTACTTCTATCAATTTTGGTTCTTGTATTCTGAAGTTCTGTTTGGTGCCAGCACATTTAGGATTGTTAGCTATGTCTTTTTGGTGAATTAACCTTTTTATCATTATATGATATGCCTCTTTGTCTCTGATAATTTTCTTTATCTGATATTAATAGAGCCATAGCTGCTTTCTTTTGATTAATGTTGTAGTAAACAGAAAATTAATGTTTGCATTTTTCAGTCTTTAAACTTTCGGTCTAATGTTTATTATTATCAGTATATTTGAAATAAGTTTCTTATAGTTCACTTTTTTATCTTTTTTTTTAAGTTTATTATTTTTGAGAGACAGAAAGTGCACATATACAAGCAAGGGAGTGGCAAAGAGAGGAAGAGAGATAATCCCAAGTATGATCCACAGTATCAGTGTAGAGGCAGACACAGAGCTTGATCCCATGAACTGTGAGATCATGACCCGAGCTGAAATGAAGAGTTGGATGCTTAGCTGACTGAGCTACCCAGGCACCCCCTAACGAATCTCTTTTAATGATGTATTTAGTCCATTTACATTTAGTGTAATTGTTGATATGAGAGCTTAAGTTTTTTGTTTTATTTTATTTTATTTTTAATTCCTTTATTTCATTTTCCCTGCCTTCTCATGAGTTGAATATAACTTAGAATTAATATTTGACTTATCTATAATGTTTTTAAGTGCATTCTTTTGTATAGATTTTCTAGTGATTGCTCTAGATACGGTCTTATATATGTCTGCAGCTTTTCACAGTCTACTGGTGTTTTACTACTTTGAATGAAGTGTGGAAGTCTTACCTACACTTAAGTCTTTTTTCTATTCCCCTTTATAAAATTTTTTTTCATGTTTATTTATTTTTGAGAGAGAGATAGAGTGTGAGCAGAGGAGGGGCGGAGAGAGGGAGACACAGAATCTGAAGCAGGCTCTAGGCTCTGAGCTGTTAGCATAATGCCTGACATGGGGCTTGAACCCATGAACTGTGAAATTATGACCTGAGCCAAAGTAGGACACTCAACCGACTGAGCCACCCCAGCGCCTCTGTCCACTCCCCTTTATAACAAAAGTTGCTTAAATATTTTCTCTGCATAATATTGAGAACCACATCAGACAGTATTAGAAAGTTTTTATTTATTTTCTTTTTAAGTAAACTCTAAGCCCAGTGTAGGGTTTGAACTCACAACTCTGAGATCAAGAGTTGCATGCTCTACAGCCAAGGTAGCCAGGTGCCCCCACGTCAGACAATATTATAGTTTGAATTTCAACCATGAAACATAATTCAAAAACTCTATTGTTCTTTCTTCCTGATATTTTAAGTTTTCTTCTTTGTGTCTGAAGTACTTATTTGCCATTCTTTTTAGGGTAGGTCTGTTGGCAGCAAATTCTTAGAATTGTTTTTTTTTTTTCCTCCCATTTGTGGTCTTGATTTCATCTTCATTTCTGTAGGATATTTCCAGAATATCCTTAGAATTCTGAATTGACTTTTCTTTCAGTACTTGTGAAGTGTTGTACCACTTTCTTTGGTCTTCAAATTTTTCTGATGAAAAATACCATCATTTGAATCATTGTTCCCTTACCCAAGATTATTTTTTTGGATTTATCCTTTTTGGACTTTGGTCATTTTTAATTTTTTAGTTTTTTTGTGTGTGTTTATTTTTGAGACAGAGAGAGACAGTGAATGAGCGGAGGAGGGGCAGAGAGAAAGAGAAACACAGAGTCCAAAGCAGGCTCCAGGCTCTGAATGTCAGCCTGACGTGGGGCTCAAACTTGTGAACCATGAGATCAGGACCTGAGCTGAAGTCAGACACTCAACCCACTGAGCTACCCATATGCCCCATGGTCATCTTGATACTACACTTGATCTTAGCCGAAAGGCCGAGAAGTGATTCATCACCTTCTTGAATTTTTATGTTTATCATTGCCAAATTTGGAAATTTTTTAGCTATCTTTTTTTCTAGATATATTTTCAGGTCCCCCTGCTTTCTCTCTTCTCTGGAATTTTGATAACATTGAATTTTTAAATTAAATTAAATTTAATTTAATTTAATTTTTTTAGTAGTCCTGTAGGTTTCCAGTCTACTTTTTCTCTCTTGTTCAAATTGGGTAATTTCTGTTGTTGTGTTGTGTGTTTTTTGTTTCTTATTTCTGAGTAGACTCCATGCCCAAAATGGGGCTTGAATTCAACAACCCTGAGAACAAGAGTCAACATGTTTTACTGACTGACCCGGCTGGGTGCCCCATATTCTCGTGTTTTGAAATCCATTCTTTTATCATCATTCTCCTACTGAGCCCATTTAGTGAGGTTATTGTATTTTTCAATTCTAAGATTTCCATTTGACTATATTTTCTTCCTTCCTTTCTGAATTTTTTTGCTAAGACTTGCTTTTTGTTTCAGATGTGTTCTTAATTGGTCATAGGAGCATTTTTTTTATGACTGCTTTAAAATTCTTGTCTAAAATTATCTGACATACCGGCATCTGTTTCTTTTTTTCTCATCCAAGTTGGGGTTTTTCTTGGGTGTTGTTATGACAAATGTTTTTCAATTGCATTCTGGATGTTTGTAGAATTGTTATGAGACTGTATCCTATTTAATTTTATATTTGAGCAGTTCTCCATTGAAACCACACTAGCAGGTGTGTAGACACTGCTACAGAAATGTAGACACTGACTCTTTATACCAAGTGGGACCACTGGATGGGATAGAGAAGGATGCCTAACTATGCGGCAAGGATTGAAATCTATGCTTTCCACTTAGTTTCTACTAAGAAACTAAGGAGTGGTGGAGAGGAGTGGTGTCTTGTTACTGTCAAGTAGGAGTGGAAGTCCAGGCTCCCCTTGGTCTCTGCTGACACTGTCCTAGTGGGGAGAGTTAGAGGTATCTAATTACACTAGGCAGGGGTTGAAATTTAGGTTTTTCACTTGGCTTTCACTTATCCTATGGGGAAGCTGAGAAATGCCTTGTTACTGATGTGGGGTTAAAAGCCCAGGTTCCCCATGTCGTCTCCACTAATTTAAGGGTGGTAGACATCTCATTACTACTGAGTGTTCGTGAAAGTCCAGACTGCCCACTCAGCCTTCTCTGATATTACCACATTGGGGATTGGGAAAGCCACTTCATTATTGCCAGATGAGGATAGAAATTTAAGCTCTTCACTTGGCCTTTGCTGACAGTGGTTGGGAGCCTATGGTTTTTTCTACCTTCCACCTGCCCTCCTCCTGCCACCTCGCCCCTCCTTCCCTGAATAGGGTATGTATTGTCACAAAGGTTTTTATGTTGCTAGGCTGACTCTTCGTAGTTCTTTAGCAAATGAAAAGAAGCCTTTCCTTTCCCTTCCCCTTCCCCTTTTCCTTCCCCTTCCATCTGTATCTATTTCAGGTAGTGGGCTTCTTTAACACCCACTCAGAGCTATACAGAAGGCAAAAAGAAGCCTCCGGGAACTCATCACCATGTTATTCTTTGTGTTATGGGGTTCCTACCTGGATTTCCTTGTCTCTCCCTTTGGGAAACTTCTTATGTTTATTTATATATAATGTCTAGGGTTTTTACCTATTCTTAGTTAGAGGGATAGGTAGAAATGGGTTTACTCCATGTTCTCCATAACCAGAATTCTAAGTTCCCTTTTCCTTATTCTATAGAATAAGGCTTTAGACCAAGGAATATTACCTTAGTTGAAAAGCATTATCTGTACATTGTGAAACTAAAACCCATCGCCCAAAATAACACTCAGTAAACGAACATTTTCTCTCATTTTTAAGACTTCTGTAAAAGGATAGCCAGCATTTTCAGGGCTCCCTTGGCAACAAAAATCACAAGGAACATTTAAGTCATCAGGTTTCTTTTTTTTAATTAAAAAAAATTTTTTAATGTTTATTTACTTTTGAGTTGGGGGAAGGGACAGTGCTCAGAGCTCAAGCAGGGGAGGGACAGAGAGACACAGAATCCAAAGCAGGCTCCAGGCTCTGAGCTATCAGCACAGAGCCTGACACAGGGCTTGAACCCACAAACCATGAGATCATGACCTGAGCCAAAGTTGGATGCTCAACTGACTTAGACCCAGGCACCCCTAAGTTACCAGGTTTTTTAATGATGCGAAAAGTTTTGTTGTTTAAGCCTATGCCCTACCAAATGAAAAACATGAAAAGCAAGACTGGAACTCTTCTGCCAGGCATTAGAATACAGTCTTAAAACCCAGGTACTCTGTGTTACTGAATCACTTAGACAAATCTGATATTTATCTGCATTGATGCAGCTATTTGTTCCCTGCCCAAAGGATGACACAACTAATGCTATAGGGACCTGGCTCTTCCCATAGGGTTAACCCTCTCAATAAATCTAGCATACAACCATAGAGAGATGTTTGTTTCTGCTGAAACCATGAAAGTAAGTTTGTCTCTCAGTTGGTGACATTTTGGAAGAGTATGAGTATGTGAACAATTTGAAGATCAGGGGCATCCCTGATGGCTCAGAAAAATTGAAATGGTTTCTGTAGAAATGGGCAGCTGGGATGATGTCCAAGAAAAACAAATTCCATTTTTGGAAAAGTAATTTTATTGATTTCTGACAATGAAAATATTACATGCTGTTGGTCAAATATAAGAAAACAAAAATTTCAAGAAGATAAAAATTAGAATAAACTTTTTTTAACATTTTGATGAGTGTCTTTTTTTCTGGTATGCATGGATGTTTTTTAGAAAGAGGATCATGCTACATGCTCTTTAGTGTCTTTAAAAAAAATTTTTTTTTTAAATTTATTTCTGAGAGAGAGAGAGACAGCGTGAGCAGGGGAGCGTCAGAGAGACAGAGGGAGATACAGAATCTGAAGCAGCCTCCAGGCTCTGAGCTAGCTGTCAGCACAGAGCCTGACATGGGGCTTAAACCCACAAACCGTGAGATCATGACCTGAGCTGAAGTCAGATGCTTAACCGACTGAGCCACCCAGGCGCCCCTCTTTAGTGTCTTGTTTATTGCATTTACTATGTTATGGATATTGTTTCATATCAATTAATATAGGTCTATACTATCATATAAGTTAACTTGAAGAATCCTTTAGCCTGAAAAATTGTGCTTTATTGTTTGAATTTACATATCTTTGATTATTGGTGAGATCCTTTTATATATCTTTATTCTGTTAATTGCCAGCTCATATCATCTACTTTTTTCCCTTTGGGTGTTCAGCTTATTAATATTTATTTGTAAGAGGTCTTTATTGGGGCACCTGGGTTGCTCAGTTAAGCATCTGACTTTGGCTCAGGTAATGATCTTGTGAGTTCGAGCCTTGTGTCAGGCTATGTGCTGACAGCTCAGAGCCTGAAGACTGTTTTGGATTCTGTATCTCCCTCTCTCTGCCGTTCACCTGCTCACCCTCTGTCTCTCTCTCAGAAGTAAATAAACATTAAAAAATATTTTTTTAAAAAGAACTCTTTATGTATTTACTTTGGGTATTTCACAGGCAGTGAAATATTTTCTAAGTTTACTGTTTTTAAACTTTGTTCATAATGTTTTTCCATTTAGACATTTAAAATGTTTATGTAGTTGAATTTTTCCTTTTTTCTTTACGATTTCTGCCTTTGGTGTTCAACATGTGTTTTGACAATATATTTATAATAACTTAAACATGTTTTTCCCTTGCTGTTTTACTTAGTTTTTTTCTGATTCTGGATGATGAGGCCTCTCTGTAGTTTGGTTACTTCACTATTGGTGACATAAACCTGTCTCTGTATTCTTTATTTTTCTTTTTAATTTATCTATTTTTGAGAGAGAGAGTGGTGGTGGCGGTGGTGGGGAGCAGAGACAGAATCCCAAGCAGACTGCACATTGCCAGTGTGGAGCCTGATGCAGGGCTTGAACTCATAAACCGTGAGATCATGACCTGAGCCAAAATCAAGAGTCGGACACTTAATCGACTGAGCCATCCAGACACCCTTGTATTCTTTTTGAATGTGTAGTGAAATAGTATTTATCAACACTTTGTAAATTCCACTTAGAGTTCTCTCTTCTCTTCAACCTGAATTATAAAATCTAAAATTTACTTCACTGAGAAATAATGTGGCTGTAGATGGAAATGCTAATAACTTTATGAAGAAATAAAAGTAATCAAAATATTAACACAAGAATATTAAAATGATGTAATATTGTGATAGTCTCAATATTGTGATATGTTAGGATTAAAATCTAAAGAATTAGGAACTATAGCTTTATTAGTATATGCTCCATCTGTAATACCTACTTATGAGCAATAGTTTTCAAAATGATTTCTTTTCAGTGTCCTAAAACGTAGGATTTTGTCTATTTCCATTTTGCCAGCTAGTCCCTATTAGAATGAGGAGGTCATGTTTCAGATGTGTATGGCATGTCCAGGCAGAATGGGTTTTCCCCCAGCGTCTCCTTTGTCTTAGAGCTGTCCTGTAATTGGTCAGCTGTCAACAGTAGTCTGTAAAGTAACACTTTGTACGAGGGTTGATTTGTCTGTGACTGATGTTAAATTGCTTTAGTGGTTGCTGTAAGTCTTATATCAGAAATATAGTTTGTCATAAAATTTTCCCATGGCACAGAAATGTAAATAAATAAAACTTCACATTTTTCTCCTTGATTCCATTCCCCATACGTAACTAGTTTTAATAGTGTGGTAATCCTTCCAGGCATTTTCTGTGTTCTTACAGCATTTATGTTTACAGAATTGAAAAATGACATAAATTATTATTTAGGAAGGAGTTTTTGTGGTTGGCAAATAGATTGACAACTTAGGTTCAAAAACCCCTGTGCTGCTGAACTTATTACCAAAAAATATTTATGAAAGAAAATACCTGAAGAAATGCACAAAAGTGAAAACCATCAACCAAAAAGATGCTGTTACTAAAGAATATAGACAAGTCTCGTGTGATAAATAGCACTAAGCTTCTGTGTATTTGTCATTCAAGGGCGCAGCTGGAAACTGATTTGAAGATTGAGAAGGAATGGAGGCAGACTTTGCAGGAAGATCTTCAAAAGGAGAGAGATACCTTATCTCATCTTAGAAATGAGACCCAGCAGATCATTAGTCTTAAAAAAGTAAATGGTGGTAAAACTTTTAAAAATTACATCTTTAAAAACTAAGTTACTTAAAAAGAGAAATCATCATTTATATTTATACCAAAGAGACAGGATATACTAGTTACCTTTAAAAATACTGATAAGAAGGGCCCCTTGGCTGGCTCGGTTGGTAGCATATGCAACTCTTGATCTTGGAGTTGTGAGTTTGAGCCCCATGTTGGGTGGAGAGTTTACTTAAAAAACACAAAACCAGTAGGGAGATTAAATGAATGTGAAATGGCTGATATTTGATGGAGCAGCTATGAAAGAACTTGGACATAGAGTTCTATTTTTTATAAAAAAACTAAAGGGCATATGTTCCTAATTATTGGTATATATACAATTTGGAGTTTCTTGTTTATTTCTTTTAAATTGCATTTTCTGTCTTTTATTGTTTTGAAGGAGTTCCTTAACATCCAGGATGAAAATCAGCAGTTGAAAAAAATATATCACGAACAGGAGCAAGCTCTTCAAGAACTTGGCAGCAAACTTAGCGAGTAATTTCTCTTTTTTCTTTCATCTCTGTAATCATTGACTTTTATAAAGGTATGAGTGTGCCAAACTAAATAGGCAGAAAAGTTTATATGTAGAAAAGAAAGATAGGAACTATTAAAGAAAATCAAAAGCAAGCAAAAACCTTAAAGATAAACTTGCAAGACTGGATTGGAGGGATTTTGTTAAAAGTTGTGTTCAGTTTAGTAAATTTAGCTCTAAATGCTTCCTGTAGATAAAAGTTAAGACTCTTATTTAATTTCTTCAAATTAGAGAATTCAGAAGTCCATTTAATATATTTTTCCTGGAAAAACAGAAACCAGATTTTCAAACTCTTTGGAGAGATCTTCTTCAGACTGTTTTTTTTTTTCTTTTTCTTTTTTTTAATGTTTTTTATTTATTTCAAGGAGAGAGAGAGAGAGACAGCGTGAGCAGGGGAGGGTCAGAGAGAGAGGGAGTCACAGACTGAAACAGGCTCCAGGCTCTGAGCTGGCAGTCAGCACAGAGCCCGACGCGGGGCTCGAACCCACGAACCGCGAGATCATGACCTAAGCGAAAGTCGGACGCTTAACCGACTAAGCCACCCAGGTGCCCCTTCTTCAGACTGTTTTGAGAAGGAGCCAGCGTTGTGACGAGTGGAGAGTGTTCTATGCTAGAGTTGTGGCCTGACTTTATACAGTAAGGTTGGTTCTGCTGCAGTTAAGTGTTACTGGGTTCCTAGAAAGACAGGAAGGAGAAATGCTGTTCTGTCTGTCTCACATCTTCCTCCTTGTTCTGTGTGGTCTGTGTTTTGGATTAGCAGCTTCATCTTTGTGCCCTGATAGAACACAATGCCAGGTACCTGAGATAAGCTCTAGAAGGTTTAATTTAGTATCCAACGTATCACTGCAATGGGGTGGGGAAGCATCACCTTTTTTAACACAGAAAAGTAAGAGTAAGAAAGCTATAGCGCTCATAATCGTATCACCTGTATAAATCCCTTTGATGTTTTATATGGTTAGAAATTCAGAAAGCACAAAAAGATGCAAAAAACACAATTTCCTCCCTCTCCCAAGTATCAATCCCTAGTTAGTGAACCTTAGAACAAAACTGTGCCTGAGCATCTTGTCATTTATGTGGATATGATTAGTTACATATACATACATATATATCATTGGTAAAAATTAAACTCAATAGAAATCATAACTAGAATGGAGACTTCATTGCAAAAGATGAGATTTCATTAAGAAGTCTTGAAACCAGTTTCTGGTGCCGCAGGAAAGAGTAGTTTACTAAAACCACTAAAGGAAATACCAGTTTTCAAAAAGATAAAGCTGTTGGGATGCCTGGCTGGTTCAGTTGTTGGAGTATGAGACTCTTGATCTTGAGGTTGTGAGTTTGAACCCACGTTGGGGGGTAGAGTTGGCTTAAAAAAAAAAAAAAAGATAAAGCTATTTTTGTTTGTATCAATTCAAAGAACAATTTGCATTGTGACTCTGATAAGCAAGATTTCAATTCTAATCTGCCATTCACCTAGTGAGTACTTTGACCCAGACCATATGCTGAGTGTTTATTATCTTACTTCCCATATATTCATTTGGCAAATACTAAGCTTGTATTATGTGCCAGGCACTATTCCAAGTGCCAAGTACTAAACAATGTACAATCCTCACAACAAAATACATTTATTAAGATCATAAAAGTTTAATATTAAAACAGATTAGAATAGGGGCACCTGGGTGGTTAAGCATTGGACTTCAGCTCAGGTCATGATCTCATGGTTTGTGAGCATGAGCCCTGCTGTGGGTGAGCCCTGCTTCTCTCTCTCTCCCCCTCTCTTTTTGCCCCTTGCTCACTGTGCCCCCCTTAAGAAAAAAAAACAACAACCCAGAACAGATTAGGTTAGTAAAATGGGAATAACTTTTCACCCATCTCATATGCAGTGCTAAAGACTAGAGTTGTTTTAAACACATGATCATTTGAATGTTCGGATAGCTGAATTGACTTTTTTTTCTTTTGAAGATTTTATTTTTCAGTAATCTCTACACCCATTGTGGTGTTTGAACCTATAACCCTGAGATCAAGAGTCGTGTGTCCTACTGACTGAGCCAGCCAGGCGCTCCTGAATTCACTTTTACCCCCCTTTTTCCTTTAGTCTGCTTTCTTGTTTCTCAAATTTTAGTTTGCATGAAAATTACTGCTCAAGGTTGGGTATACTCAACAATATATACTGAACTTCATGGGCTATTTAAGGAATTTTCAAGGGTTATTTTGACTAAGTTTTTTTTGTGCATGTACAGACTGCATGCCTGTCCCCTGTGTGACTACTATATGCATGTTCTTCTGAAGTTTGTGGGTTTTTCTCTTTCTTTTCTTTTCTTTTTTGTCTTTTCAGTTAGGAACATATTAAAAGGTTTTTCTGTATCAGTACATAAAGATATTCCATCGGATAGACGTGCTATAATTAAAAGTGTTTCTAATTTTTTTCTTTTATAAATGATACTGCTGTGAACATCCTTGTATGTGTATGTTGATATCTTGATATACTTTATACTTTAATGAGGCTATCTGAAGAGTAATTTTCAAAGGTGACTGCTGGGCCAGAAAGAATGTGCTTTAGGAAATTCTGGTCATGCTGAGTCATCCTCCATCTGATATTAGACCTCCTTCAGTAACAGGAGAGAACGCCTGTTTTTACCCATCTGATAGTTGAAAATCTTATTGTTTTGATTTGTGTTTCTTTAACCACAATCAAGGTTGAGCATCTGTATTTATTTATTTTTTAAGTAATCTCTATCCCCAACATGGGGTTTGAACCCATGATCCTGAGATCAAGAGTCACATACGTGCTTCACCGACTAAACCAGCTGGGTGCCCCTGGGCATCTGAATGCATTTGTGTTCTATTTGTATTTATAGTTTACTGCCTATTCATATCTTTTGCATTTTTGGTTGGATTGCTCATCTTTTTCTTATGGGATTTTAAAAATTGTACACAGTGTACATCTTTTTTTTTTTTTTTTTTACTAGTTTGTCGTTTGTCCTTATACTTCACTTATGATGTGTTTTTTTCTTGCTAATCTTTGAATTTTTATGGTGCAGATTTATTAACTTTCCTCTATTGTTTCTGGGACCGTAGTTCATAAGACATGGGTACGGGCCAGTTTTGAGTCAGAACTTATTTTATTTTTCTAAACTGTTGTCCTCTGAGTGGTGAGAATAATTTATCAGGGCTGGATGAGGGACAGTGGCCTCTGTGAGTTTCCCCATACCATACCGGTTTATCTGTAAAACACTTATTCCTTCTCTTCATCGTCCTCTTCCTGTCATTATAAGCTATCAGATTGAAATTAAGTAAAAACCGATTCCTCCCTAATATACAGGGTGATAAATATTTGTTAACGAAATTTGTTGATGAGGAGGGACTGAGGTTGGATGGGTACTTTTTAATCTTTGCTTCTATTTCACCAAAAGCTTTTAGGCTTTATGTAAACCATTTGGGTATTATTTAAAATGGGGAGTGGGAGGAGAAAAGTCATTTGGAATAATAGGAACCAAATTTAATTTTGTTAAAAGGGAAAAGTTGTATTTCAGGAAGAAGAGTTTTGTGTATGGAAAACTATATAACTGATAGTTTTATTTAAAATATATACATTCTCATCTCCTCAACATGTAGATTATCGTCTCTGAGTGGTAGGATCATAGATAATTAATTACTGCTGTTTGTAATCTGCATGTTCATTAACATGTGTTTTCAAAAGGTGAAAAGTATCACAGCTCTATTTTCCTTAATATTTCTACTCTTACTGGTTTTTTTGCATCTGGTAGGGAAATAGTGTGCATAATGGTTAGCAGTAGGCTCCATTGTCATAAAGAGCAGGGCCTGAATCCTGGCTTCTGCAGTTACTACCTCTGTGACCTGTTACAAGAGTGAAACCTCATCAGGCTTCATCTTTATTGTTGTTATTTTTTTTACAACTGATCTTTAAAATATTTCTTTTTAAGATTAAATGAGCATATGCATGCAAAGTTTATATCAAGGTGTCTGGCACACATAAGCCTACAATAAATGATAGCTTTTATTAATATTCTCATAACCACATGAAAATGCCAATATTCTTTTGCTAAAGAAAGCAAATTTTAAATTTAAAGAAGACATTTTTGCTTTAGGAAATTTTGAAAATTTAGGAAAATAGAAAAAACATAATTCTGGTCAAAAACAATCATTAGAATCATTATGCATGAATACAACTTTGTATTCTATGAAAACCCGGTACCTTAATAATGAATTGCTAGATGTTCTATATTTAATGTGTTTACTGAATATGGATCTATTTTATAATCCTTATAGATCAAAACTTAAAATAGAAGATATAAAAGAAGCCAACAAAGCACTGCAGGTGAGTAGGAAGTGTTTTCCTCAAGAAGGGAAGTATAGATATATGTGAAAGTCTCCAACAGAAGGTAAAAAAGACTTGTATGAATCTAAGGTATTGTTTAGTGAATCCCACGTTGTATAGAGGCAAAAGCACTGAACAGGGAGCTGGGACGACGGGGATCCAGCTCCTCCCTATTATTCCTCTAGAGTTAATAATCATGTTGGAAATGACCTTGGAAATAGTTTTATCTACTCTCTTACAAAGCATGGCCTGGTAGACTGAAATGGTCTTTGAATTTGAGTTCTTGAGTTTCTATACTGGTCTATTACTTACCAGGTTTTGACTTTAACAAGTTATACCTTCATGGAGTCTGTTTTCTCTTCTAAAATGGCTTGTGAAATGGCCTTATGATTTTGCACCAGGTTGCTTTGAATATTGAGGTTCGTATGTGTGAAAAGTGATTAGTACAGTCTATCAGTACAGGGTTTTGAATGTGTCTGGTTACAGGAATCCCTTCACAACACAGGAGAAAATAGTCTTTCTGTGAGTACTTCAGTGAGATTGCCTCCTACCACAGCTCCCATTTTTAAAAAGTTCTTTATTTTGGGGGCACCGGTGGCTCAGTTGATCAAGTGTCTGACTTGAGATTTCAGCTCAGGTCATGATCTCATAGTTCATGAGTTTGAGCTCCATGTTGAACTCTGTACTGAAAACGTGGAGCCTACTTGGGATTCTCTCTCTCTCTCTCTCTCTCTCTCTCTCTCTCTCTCTCTCTCTCTCTGTCCCTCTCCCGCTCATGCTTTCTCTTTCTTGCTCTCTAAAAATAATATAATAAACTTAAAAATAATTTAAGAAATCTCTACACCCAGTGTGGGGCCTGCAGTCGCAACCCCAAGATCAAGAGTTGCATGCTCCTCTGACTGAGCCAGCCATGTGCCTCCCCATTTTGTTTTTTATAAAAAAACATGAAAATGTTACATGAAAATAATTTAAAAGGTCAGTTAGTGCTTGGAAGACTTAAAAAATAATGGTAGCAGTCTCTTGTTCTTCACCCCTTATCCACTTTGGCTTCTGCCACCTGAAGGGAGTTACTTTGAATTCTCTTGGTTGTTTCTTCTGGCACTTCCCCCTATTTCTAAATTTATGCAGTATAATTCACTCATTTATTTAAGACCTGTCTATTTTAGGCCTATTTTTTTTTTTAATTAATTTCTGAGAGGGAGGGAGGGGGGAGAGGGAGGGAGGGAGAGAGGGGGGTAGGGGGAGAGGGGGGGAGGGGGAGAGGGGGAAAAGGAGAAGGAACCCCAGCCAGCTTCACACTGTCAGGCGGCACAGAGCCCGAAGCAGGGCTTGAAAATGAACCATGAGATCATGACCTGAGCAGAAACCAAGAGTCAGATGCTTAACCAACTCAGCCACCCAGGCGCCCCTAGTTTAGACCTATTGCCTGGTTAACATGGTAGATGAGGAGTTTTGCTCACTCCCACCCTGGTCTGTTTACTCTTCATTGTCCTTCCAATGTAATTAAGTAAAAGTTTTTGTAGAATTCATTTACTGGATATACTTCATTATGGCTGTTTAAATATTGTTCTTTGTTGGGCTACGTGTGGTATATTGGGACTATGTTTTCTTTCTTGAACTACTTCTTTTTCCTCTGAAGTTAATAATTGCCTTAAAAGTTTTGTTGTATTTGAACATTGGAGTTTTCTCATACCTTCAAACACGTCTCTAACATGCTGGATCAAAGATTTTCACACGGTAAAATGAATCAGGTAATTGTTTCTTTTTTCTTTTTTTTATTTCTGAGAGAGAGACAGAGACAGCATGAGCAGGGGAGGGTCAGAGAGAGAGGGAGACACAGAATCTGAAACAGGCTCCAGTCCCTGAGCTAGCTGTCAGCACAGAGCCCGATGTGGGGCTTGAACCCACGAACCATGAGATCACGACCTGAGCCGAAGTCGGTTGCTTAACCGACTGGGCCACCCAGGCGCCCCTTAATTCTTTTTTCCTTGGAGTCATCCCTCCTGGATTTCTTTGCTCTCCTGCTCCAGTCTGGTCTGGTAACCTGTCTTGACATTTTCCTTTGCTTCCATTCTCAGACTTCCCTTTACCCTTCTCATATGTTAGAGCTCCTATTACCTGAATCCTTTAACTTCTTGGTCTCCTTTGTTTGGGGCAGTGCATCCTTTGGTTGCTTCCTGGAAAATGTTGAATGAAGATCAAGGTTTTAAGAATTTGTGCATCTGCATAGATGCCTTTTATTTTGCTCACATTTTTTTGGGTGGGTACGGGTGTCTGCCCAACTCATTATTTAAACTCTGTGAAATTTTTTCATTATGAAATATACCACGTATATAACTGTATGCATACAACTTAAAAACAAAGGCATACTCCATAACTTAGCCTAGAGGGAGATTATGTTCTCCTCTTTATAGTAGTAATTTTGTGTTAGTCACTGTTGTTTTTCTTTATAGTCTAATCATTCTTGTCTATCTTTACATTTTTTTAATGTTTTATTATTTTTGAGAGAGAGATAGAGACAGCATGAGCAGGGGAGGGTCAGAGAGAGAGGGAGACACAGACTCTGAAACAGGCTCCAGGCTCTGAGCTGGCAGTCAGCACAGAGCCTGACGCGGGGCCCGAACCCATGAACCATGAGATCATGACCTGAGCTGAAGTCGGACGCTTAAACCACTGAGTCACCCAGGCGCCCTTTGTCTCTCTTTACAAAATATTATCTAGAGTTTTGTTTTTATATATATGGAAATGGATTTATTTATATGTGACTTAATTTTTTTGTCCTTGCTGTTGACCTGTTGATTGGGTCTGTGAGGGCTGTCCTACAGTTTCTTACATTCTGGATTTTATCTGCCATTTCATAGTAGTAAACTTGTTCCTCTGTCTTTTTACTGCCTGTAAACTGGAAGTTAAACCTAAAAGGTTTGGTTAGATTCTGGTGCAACTTTCTGTGAGAATTTTTCTCTCTGCTACTATATTTTTAATATTCAGCAGGCCCTATTTACGTATTTTTCCTTTTAAGATTAGCATCTGCATTTTATCTCTGGGGATATTCATTAGTTTCTTTAAAGTTTTCTTCTGCTACTGCCATTCTGTCTTCTGAATTCCCTTCTTGGGTTTGTTTCTTTGGCTGAAGTACCTCCTGCCTGTCATTCCTTAAATGTTGGGAAACCCTCCCATTTCAATAAAGGTACAAAAAATCTTGGAAGCCCTGCGTGTGTGGGTGGGGGGATGAGAGTGGTATAGACCGTAGGCCTCACCACAGAGAAATCTGGTAACTAGTAAACTGTTGGCCACCCTCTCCAAATTATGTTAATATCTATAGGACTTTTCTCTGGGGCAACTGAGTTTCTTCAGAGAAGGAGCCTCTAATATCCTGTCTTGGGTGTGTAAATTGGGTGGCTGACATTTTGGAATTGGGCAGAGAATAATGGCCATGTTTACAGAGTAATAGCTTCTAGTTTTGACTCTGCTTGAAAAACACTGTTTCAAAGAAAAGAAAAAAGAAAACTGTTTCCTTGAGGAGGCAACTTCAGCTCTTTGGACAAGTTTTCACATCTGTCAAATGGGAATAAAGGTGCTAATCTCTGAGGTCCCTTCCAAGCTGATGCACGAGGCTTGCTCTGCACTGTACAGCCTTTCTATTTGGGAGACAGGAAGGGTAAATTCATTCAGCTTAAAATAAATTTGGAAGGCCAAGCTCTGATGTCAGAAAGATTAATTCTGAACCTAATGCTGCTTGGAAACCTGCTTCACATCAGGCTCGCCATCCCTTAAGGTATATAGCTTGGCAGGAAGCAAAGCTGCTTCCACTAAGTGGCTTTTGGACATTTGGAAAGTCACTTTCCTTTTTAATGGCATTCATCAAGTTGCATTGGGTTATTATTTTAAATGTTTTTATTTTTTACTTTTGAGAGCGTGCGAGCAGGGAAGGGGCAGAGAGAGAGGGAGACACAGAATCCAAAGCAGGCTCCAGGCTGTCAGGCAAAGAGTCCTATGTGAGGCTTAAACTCCCCAACCACGAAATCATGATCTGAGCCGAAGTCAGATGCTTAACCAATTAAGACACCCAGGTGGCCTGCACTGGAGTATTTTTAAGTTCTCATCTTGCTTTTTAAAAAAATCTACAATTCAGTCATTTGATTCTTTACTGGTATTTGTCTGATAGGAGCTATCTAGAGTTTTCTTTTCCCCCTCTATCTTTAAGAATATATAATAATATATACCTGTAATACATATACAGAATGTGTTAACTGTTAATGCTAATGCTTCTGATCAGCAGCAGGTTATTAAATGTAGTTAAGCTTTGGGGGACTCCAATTATATGTGGATTTTTTGCCTATATAGAGGTCGATACCCTTTACCCCCTAAGTTCAAGGGTCAGCTCTGCTTGGTTCTTTGGCATTATGCCCTAGTCTAGGCCATTTTAAAAAGGAACATATGGCGAGATTAATCAGAAGCATCATCTAACAAAGAGAAAAAAAATGTTCTTAGGCAGGGTCTTGGATGGGTTAAGAATGGGTCCATTTAGAAATTTCAGGTGTCGTTAACTCTCACCTGTTAAAGACCACTTACATAACATTTCCTGCTCATCTACACAGTGGTTATTAAATGTATTATATAACTTAAGGGAAATTAATAGACATGTAAAACTTAAGGCGATATCTAAAATAACAATTTCAAACGTGATTTCCAAATTCTCTTCAAATCTTAAGGACTGATGTTTGTTTGGTATGCTTAATGCCAAACTCATGCATTTTATAGTGAAAAATGTATCCTTGTATCTTGGACTACATTATATCTAAGGTTTTTTCTTCCTTAAAGTGAATACCCATCAGTAGATTTAAAGATTTTATAATGAAATGTCCACATACAATTGTACAGAGAAAAGTTAACCCAGTTTCAGCATTTAACAATATACTGCCAATCTTGTTTTATTTATATTTAACCCCTGCCCCTTCTCCCTTAACCAGATTATTTTGAAGCAAATCCCACACTTGTTAATTCTCCCAACTATGTCAGTTATTTCTGTATATTCCCACAAGATGGTCTTGGTTGAAAATATTTTCACATGCAATTTTTATTGTTAATGCTTTGAGTATTTATATGCACATTTCTTCCTACTAGGGACTGGTTTGGTTGAAAGACAAAGAAGCAACACATTGTAAACTTTGTGAAAAGGAATTCTCACTCTCCAAGAGAAAGGTAAGGGAGATAAGGAAGTGAATCCAAAAGCTTTGGTGCAAACAGGTCTTCTAATTTTATTTTCTTTGATTTTTCCATTTAATAGCACCACTGTAGGAACTGTGGGGAAATTTTCTGTAACGCTTGCTCTGACAACGAATTGCCTTTGCCTTCTTCACCAAAGCCAGTACGGGTTTGTGATTCCTGTCACGCATTGCTGATCCAGAGATGCTCATCCAACTTGCCATAAAACTCCAGAACTAAGTCCTTACATATGAGCGTACCTACAATGGGTGGTTAATGTGTGAACACGTATATGCTGTTTAGACAGCCCTTATTAAGCAGCTCTCAGATGGTTTTATCTTCCACATATTCATGGGAACTAGAAGCTGTAGAATAGCTCATTGTTACTCAAGAACTTTCAACAGGGCATGCTTTAAAATTTAGCTTAATTCCTAACTGATGTAATAATCATGTAACTTTTAACGCCATTGAAAAGGCCAGATAACATAGCTCACACACACACTTGCCTTATTTTGTAAAGGCCTTCTTAAAAGTAGGGGTGCAGATGGTTTAACTCTCCAGATTGTCAAGTTGGTATTTGACGGTGCCTGTAGGTTTCTTAATGCACTTTAAAGCTTCACAGTTCTCAAAGATCAGAAATACATTGAACTTTTTACAAGTATTACTATTCCAACTCGACAGACTTCCTTAGCTTGCTAAGATTTCAACCTTAACTCTGTCCTTTCTGCCCTACTGCCTTTGCTCATTTTGCATTAGAAATGGCCAATACTTTAGCCTATAGAATTTCCTTTTGGTCTTCCTGTAATCATTAATGTATTTATTAGTACTTCTCAGATATAGTGGGTTAAAGAGGTACTATTTTACCTCAATTTTTTTCCTTTGAAAGGAAGTTAAAACTATCCTTTTCTTTTTACCAAAAAAAGTTACCACTTGCAGATCTTTCCATATGCTATTCCTGCTAACACTGCTAATTTTTTTTTTAGGGAGGGCTCATACTTCTTTAAATTAAAAAGAAAGATCTGTCCCCAGAAAAAAGGTTTATTGTTAGGGATTACAGGCTCGAGTGGTTCTCCTCTAAGCATTAAAGGAGAAACCTAAAATAGCTAAACTTTGCCTTTGATATTTTTTATTGTATCATATTCTAATAACTTTTAGGAAGCATTACATCATAGTAGTGATCCACTACTGCAGTTATAAATAAACACAGTGAAGTATTCACCATATAATGAGAAACTCTAAGGCAGCATCTGGAGCAGATGATCTGATCTCAGCCCTGCCATAAACACATCAACTATTTCAAGCATGAAAGATTCAATAAACACTAATCTCATTACACTGCTTGTAGCGTACCAAGAATATGTAGTTACCCTTGTATGATTAATCCTTTGAGTAGCACTCAAACTTGGGATACCCTTTCCCCGCCTCCCCTTAGGTATTAATTTTAGCTATGCACTTTAAGTCTATGACCCTTCACACAGGTCACATAGGAATTTATTATTAATCCTGAATTAATCCTGACTACCCTCCTCCCACCTAAAATGGAATTACTTATTCTGCAGGATCCTTTCCTCAGAATATACTATTTTCACTTGGGTTTAAAAAAATAAATTTTCAAAATCGCCAAAGTATGAAGCCAGTATTTTACTCGATTTTCTCCATATCCAGTTAGCTTTTAAGGTCTTCAGTTAGAACTGCTGTACAGATTTTTAGGTGGTCTTTCTTGAGTGCCGACAGAAATGTTGTCAAGAGATGAATTATATTCTTGAACTGTTTTGTATTGATGGGATGAACTAACATTTTTACGATTGCTAAAAAATAAGCAAATATGAAATTTCAAGTACTGTTTTTTATTATTGTGCTGCTTATTAGAGCAAATTTCTGAATGTGATTTTGCTTAAATTCTAAGGCTGGTTTCTTCAACAAATAAACCATGATTTTCAGTCCCCCTTTAAATTCTTTGTTACTCAAAACTCCCATGATCACCCACCACTGATCTGGGCTTGTATGCAAGCCTTTAGGACAGCAATCCCCCCTTGTTTCATTTAGTTTGGGCTCTTACTTAAAAGCTAGCTATACTAAATTTTGGATTTTGTTATAAAACTTAATTTGTATTGTGATCTATACTATTTGTCAAGATTTGCCCTCATAGAAAGTATTTTAGCCAGTACTACAATAATGCTGTGGTGGTGCCAAGGAATTGTGACTGTAATTCTTTTACTCTGCGATGTTTTAAAACAAAATGTGAATTTTATAAACCAAATAAAAGATATGAAAAATTAGCCTTTCAAATGGCAACTTGCATTTATGACTTTTATTACTTGATTTTAATAGGATAGTCCTGGGAAAATCAAACCACATAAGATCTTTAAAGGATAAGTGGTAGGAGCCTAATATTTAAATGGCTAATTAGGGAGTAGTACAAGCATTAAATAAATCACTGCTTCAGTTGATAGGCTCCATTTGAGCTAACACCGCTTCCTTCTTTCTGTAACAGCAGAAATCACTCCTCAGGAGTCACCTTCTCCAATGTTCACCTAGATACAGGACCTTTTACCAATATGATTTACAATCAGTAGCCGACACAAAGCATTCTAGGACAGACCACACTATTATCTCCCACGTTGATATTTATTACATTAATAACATTTCTAGCAAAAACAAGTAACAAGGTCAATAAATGAATTCACATTGACAGGTTTCATTTTGATCCATTAGCCAATTTGGAAAGAAGCCATATTGATCAAAGGGATTAAAAGTAAAAAGCACCTTTTCCTTGCTACATGTAGTATTTTTTAACACAATGGCTCTAAAACTCCAAACAGATATCAAATGCAAAATTCAACTTCCAGGACTCTCATTTTAATTAAGACTATCACATGGACTTGTCTCTTACATTTGTTTAGTCATTTATACAGCTACTAAAAAAAAAATCATATACTCTTAACTATTGGGCAGGGAAACTGAAAAGAACAGCTGTGAGAATTATACTCCACAGTAAATACTTTTTGTACTGAATTCTCATTCACTGAGAACCTTAACCTAGTCTAAGACATTTTGAGATAACTTACAACTATCTTTTTTTGGGAAACATTTTTGGTACTTCAGTCAAGTGCTGAGTGAAAATCTAGGGCTAGAATTTAAACTTCCAACACATTCCTAGGTAACACAATTAGGAATATTTAGAAATCCAGATACCTTTTAGACCTTCAACATTCCAGAGCTATGCTTGATAATGACATTTGAAAAAGAATGACTAATATAGAAATTAGCGGAATTTATACTCCTGAAGCCACCTACACTCAGTCTTTAGGTTTTATATATTTACAGTATTGTCCAGGAGAAATTAAAAGAAAAAAGTTACACTAATTATTTTCCAAGCTCTATTCCAGATGTCTGCTTATTAAAGACTTGTAGTTTATGCAAAGGTGAACCACTGTCCTCTAAAATTATACTATACTACTTGTAGAGCTAATAGTAAAATACATCAACCCAAATCTTATGAAAGCAGCACATCCTTAGGAGTAACTAGTATATAAAAAGTATCAACATCAGTGGTTTGAATATAAAAATTTATTTTTAAGTCAAAGTATGCAACAAATAAAACCTACAGAAAACAGATTTTTCCATCACAATCTGTTGCTTTACCAAATAATATTTTGAAAACACATTCCTTCAGTCATTATAAAGTTCTTAAAATACAAAAGAAATTGAATCTGTAAGAAAGTCTAGTAGACCAGACGTTGTTGTCAGGACTTTTATGTTGGTGGTTATGCTTTAATACATCCCACGCCATCCACCTCCACTCATGCCACCTTGCCCATAGTAACCTCCACTGCCTCCACCACCACGGCCTTAAAAAAAAAAAAAAAAAGACATGTAGAATTGTTTAGCAGGAAATATCAGTGTGTAACCACATTAAAAAGGTCCACACAAAGATAAACAAACCACAGTAATCGAAGACACTTACCATAACCACCCAAGCCATCAGGAGTACCATATCCTCCACTGTAATTGTTACCCATTCCCATTCTTCCAACAGATCCATAACCTCCCTGATTATCTTAAAAAAGAAAAAAAAAAAAGTTTGAGATTGACTGTAAAGTGTGTAACTCTGTTAATTTAAAAAACTTTACATACCGATTCCATCTCTGCCATAGCCTCCCATTCCAGAACCTCCCATTCCAGAGCCGCCTCCAGGAGTAGAATTCAAGAAGAGTTCAATGTACCGATGTTCTTTAAGAAAAAAAGATTAATAGAGATGAAAGAAATGATGGATCAAGTTTATCAATAAAAGCATAAAAAGGATGACTAGCTAATATTAACCTGAAAGCATGTTTCTAGACCTATGTGGAATAAAACGAATGCCAGATGGGCTAAAACCTAACTTAACAAGTTTGTTCAAATTGTACAACCCTGAACAAGCAAAAAAAAAAGTGGTTGAGGACTCTGTTTCCTGATCTATAAAAAGACTGATTCATTATTACAAAACCAGCTAGTGTACTTCTTAAAAATATATTCCATGTTCCAGGGATACCAGGGTGGCTCAGTTAAGCATCCCACTCTTGACTTTAGCTCAGGTCATTATCTCACAGTCATGAAATCTGTTGAGACCAAGCCCCCACATCATGCTCCGTGCCAGGCATGGGGCTTATTTTCTCCCTCTGCCCTTTCCCTATGCATGCCTGCGCTCTCAAAAACACAAAGTCCACATGTACATTCCACATCTAAAGAACTGAATTAAAATCATGAAAGTAAGGTCCACAAAAACTTAATTTTTTTACGGACTACAAAACTATTTGTGTGCAGCCAGATTTAGGAATCACTGGTCAGGGTAAAACTTAATATATAAAATGAATTAATGCATGCAGAAATAATCTCCAAGTTAATCAATGTATGGGTTAGAAAGTAATTTGCAAATGGCATGGGAACTCAGGCAAAAGCAAGTAACATACCTATTTTCCTCTTTAATAACTTAAGCTGCGATAACCCGTCAAGTACCAAGCCTGAATTAACTCTTCATTAAAAAGTGCCCTAGCGGGGCACCTGGGTGGCTCAGTCGGTTAAGTGTCCGAATTCAGCTCAGGTCATGATCTCATGGGTTTGTGGGTTCGAGCCCTGCGTCAGGCTCTGTGTTGAATGCTTGCTCAGAGCCTGGAGCCCGTTTCGGATTCTGTGACTCCTTCTCTTTCTGCCCCTCCCCAGCTGACGCTCTGTGTTACTCTATCTCTCAAAAATAAATGTAAAAAAAATTAAAAAAAAAAAAAAAAAAAAAAGAATTAAAAAAATAAAAAGTGCCCTAGAAAGCCTTTAAAAAGCCTGAACTTATTAGAGGCCATATGGTTTCAGGTCCCAGTGACTGCCAAGAATTATCTACAGATCTTGTAACATTTTACATTTGAGGATGAGATTTTTTTTTTTTAAAGTTTACACTGAGAAATGAGTTAAGTTAGCAAGCCAAAGATCCCACTTACGCATGTTATTCTTATCTTTAGACATGGCAGCTACAGCATCTTCATGTGTCACAAATTCTACATCTGCTTCTCCTGTTGCTCTGCCATCAGCTCCAATGTCAATATGCACTCGTATTGGATTTAGTGGTGAGAAAAACTGAAAAAAACATTTGTTATTAGTTTTTCTATTTAGATTAATAAATTACCATATACCCTTATGCATTAAAACAAACCTCTCTACTGCCCTCTATTGCAAGGTTAACAAATCAATTACAAAGGTTCTGGGAATAGAAGATTATACACTTAGGGAAAATGCAAAGTCTCTTTAAAATAAGCTAATAATGGGCGCCTGGGTGGCTCAGTTGGTTGTGTCCAACTCTTGATTATGGCTCAGATCTTGATTTTAATTGGTTGTGTCCAACTCTTGATTATGGCTCAGATCTTGATTTTAAGCCTCATGCTGAGCTCTACCTAGTGCTGAGCCTACTTAAAAAAATAGAGTAAGCTAAGAAAAAAAAACCTAAGTGATATTAAAAGAAAAAAAAAATTCTAACCCAGAGCATAGTTCACTCTAAATAGAAGTCTCATATCTTACCACTGAGTGGGTCCCAACTCACAAGTATTTCAAAATTGCTAAAGAACAAGTCACCTGAGACTTAGAACATGTGCATAGGATTTAGGTGTTAGGATTTAGATCAATGGAATTTGATACACATATACCAACTATATGTGGACAGCTCCCAAAACAGATCACTTAGTTCTAATTTTTTTTTAATGTTTTATTTATTTCTGAGAGAGAGAGAGAGAGAGAGAGACAGACAGAATCTGAAACAGACTCGGAGAGAGGAGAGAGAGAGGAGAGGAGAGAGGAGAGGAGAGAGACGGGAGGGGAGGGGAGAAGAGGAGAGACACAGAATCTGAAACAGACTCCAGGCTCTGAGCTGTCAGCACAGAGCCCGACGTGGGGCTCAAACCCACAAACTGCGAGATCATGACCTGAGGTGAAGCCGGACGCTCAACCGACTGAGCGACCCAGGCACCCCCACTTAGTTCTAATTAAAAGTTAACTAGGTTGAAGCAATCCTAAAAGATACTAAGGTCATCGGTTCCCAGTAAGATCTACAGCTAACTGTTTCAGAGCTAGAGAGTAAATAGTCTTGGCTTTGTAAAGGCCACTGGACCTTTTCCCCTACTACTCAAGAGGTAAGAATGGATGTGACTAGATGCACCTGGGCTGAAGTTTGCAGTTTCTCTAAACAATTTGAAATCAACCAGTTTCCAATCAGCAACAGCATCTACACCCATTTTTTTTCACAGCTCCTGTTTCTATAACGATATAGCCAGAAAGTCAAACCAAGTAATTCAACTTTGACTTGTTACATATTTCCACTTTCAAAACCTGACACAAATGCAGTAATATTTCAGTCATCTCTATACTGGTAACTCTTTTCCCTAATTCTTTTTTTTTTTTTTAAGTTTACTTATTTGAGAGAGACAGAGCACAAAGGAAAGAGGAGCAGAGAGGGAGAATCCTAAACAGGATGTGCATGGTCAGCACAGATCCTGATATGGGGCTCAAACCCCTGAAACTCTGAGATCATGACCTGGGGCAAAATCAAGAGTTGGATGCTCAACCGACTAAGCTGTCTAGGTGTCCCTTCACTAAATTCTTAACTGGACTTCCTGAATACAACTTTTTACTTGCTTAAATCCTAGGTAGGTCAGTATACAATGGACAAAAAAATACTCATCAATGATAAGGATATATATCATTTAACTTAAGAGATCTTGACATTAAAACTATAAAAACGAACATTTAAGAATGCTTCAAAATTAGATACCAGGACAAAACTATTAATTACTAAAATTACTCACATTAGCAATGTCATTTTCAGTTGCACGGAAAGGCAATCCTCTCATATGTACAAAATGACCACCATGAAATCCTGAACTTGCATCACCAGCTCCACCATAGCCATGTCCTCCCATACCTAACAGAATTTCCAAAGATTATGAACGATACATGTAAAGCCTTTCGACAAAACACTTGTTCTCTATACATAACTTTTCCTATTTATACTTTTGACATCCATGAAATCTTAACACTCAGTTATTCTAAACACCAAATACTGTAAGTATACATCCGTATAAAGCCCCATGTATGGATGCACTGAAATATGCCTATTTTTATACAAATCACTTAACCTATATTAAACCACTAAATGGTTTTAAAATACTAATATGCACCTAAAAACAAATGTCTTTAATATTTACCTCTTCCATCTCTCATTCTGTCATCAAAGCCATCATTTCCATAGCCATAATTATTATAGCCACCATAGTCATCAAAACCTCCATAACCTGTATAATGAGAAATACACGGATACACTTTTAAGAGATAAATTTTACAAATCCAATTTATAGATACATTCTGTGATAAGCAGTTTGGTTATATTATTACAAGTTTACAACTCCCAACTTAGTGCATGTGAAAAAAAGAGTTAATATTTGGTGGAAATAAAATCTCAAAAGGATACATTTAGACATCAAATTAACTTTCATCCTGATGTGAAATAGAAAATGTCAAAATATGCCAAAATCTTTATTTTAATCTCTGTATTAAGTTATGTAGGTGCCAATATGTGCATCAATCAAATCCCATAGCTGGCCACGGGAATTCATATTTTCATGAACAGGTTTTAAAACCCAGTAGGTACTGAAATTACTGCCATTTCTATATTTCTTGACAAAATGTCAGGAACATTAAGAAAATGACAACAGAACCTTTGTTCATTAGATACACATACCACCATCATATCCATCACCTCCTCGTCGCATTCTGTCATACATACTTCCACGCCCAGCTCCATAATAACCCCCTCTTCCTCCTATCGGTCTATCATATGGTCCCGGTCGCTGGCCCAGCAATCTTCTTGGTGGATCATAAAATCCTTTGATTTCACTCCTGCTACTTCTGAAGATCTCAATATACCTATTTAAAAACGTTTTAAGGTACAGGTTTTAGCGTAAATGTATTAGAATAAATAAGGTACTGGGCAAAAATGCAGTAAGTTTTTCTACATCTAGATATATAACCCAATTTAAATTGCCTAAATACACCATAAATTAACATTTTTACACCTACAAACTTAAATAATTAATATTTAAGTTTTACATAGATAAATTAATCATTTGAAAACAATTCATGTAATAAATAATTTTAGCTTGTTTCCTTTAGTACATAAGTGTTTAGAGAAAATAGATGATTATAAAAAAGCATTTATCAACATCCTATAGAGAAATGGAAACAATCTAATTTTAATTTAAGCAAACTATTAGCATTAATTCCCCACCCAAATCTGTAGTTTCCAAGTTAAATTTAGATAATTATCAATTCTTTTAAACTACCCCAGAAAAATGTTATTGTAACCCCCCCATTTAAGCAATAGTGACCCACAACCCCCAAAAATAAAAATTTAACACCATCCCAAACTCTCCATCCCCACCTGTGCCCTATTCTTTCCTTGTGTTTCCCCAGAGCATTTTCTGCTATCTCCTTTGAAGCAAACTGCACGAAGGCCTCCCCTGTGCTTCTCCCCTGGTAGTCCATCGTCAATGTTATCCCATTTGGCACGATTTCCAACCCTTTAACCCAAGGACAAATAACCCCATCAAGGGGAACAGTGTTAAAGGCTGAAACATTCCCATCTGAATCAAATATTTAAAACAAGTCTAAACAAAACAAAACAAACAAAAAAACTTAAGTTTCCCATCACCCCATAATACAAGCGGAAGATTTTTTTTTCAAATATTATTGGCTTACAGATTTTTTTGCAACCAGTGTCTTTTTAAATTACACACACTAAAAGCTCACCTATATTACATTAACAAAGCCAAATCAAATTTATGCTCCATATAATTCATGGTTCATTTCATCACACATAATTACTCTCAATTAAGTTTATTGCACATTAGCTTGGTTTTACATATTCTACACATTCTGTATTGAATATTAACTGGAGCATATTTCATGACATAATACATTAACCAAGATATACTCAAAAAGACCCCAAAACAAATGGGTTTTACAAATTAAAAACTGAGTAATATAATAAAAATAATTAAAATACTACTAAACTTTGACTAATACTAGAGGTACCTTGAAAGAACTGAACTATTTCCTCTTTGCTGCAACCAAATGGCAGTCCACGAAGTCGTACTGTCCCATCACTAGCGTCATTTGGACCATTATGTTTCATAACCCAATCCATCTCAATAACGTTTGATTTAAATGCTATAAAAAATAAACAAGCACATAAAAGCAGTCAATCAAAATATACTCTTGCTATAGGTACTGAAGAAAACACCACTCAGTGGTGTATAACAGGAAATGTAACATTTGGCTTGTCGACAATGCCAAAATACAAAGGCAAAACACCTTCCCATTTTGGGGTTGGCAAAAAGACTGGGAAAAGTGAGTGAAACCTGATCCCCCAGATAAGTACTGAATTTTTAAGGACCAAATATTATATAATGGTCAATCTTAAGAAAACTTACACAATTTCAGATTAGTCTTCAAATTCCATTTCCTGTCATCTTATTGTCAACTCTAGCCTTTTCCTCATTTCTCAAATTTTCATTAACATTTTTTCAGGTTTTATTATTCATTTGAATCACTATACAAATTCTTTAAAGCTTATTACTCAAAAAGCTGCATATACCTCCACCATCCACAGCAAGAGTCAAAAGGTCAAGAAGTACTTTTGATATTAGAAAAATGGCATTACAAAGTTCTTAACTTTTTAGATGCACTTTATTTCTGACCCCATCAAATTGCTTTTGAAGGAGGGAAAATTCCTATCTCTATTTTGAGTAAATCTACTTCTCAAAAAGCAAGTTTTAAAATGACTCCAGTTAATTAGGTTGAGTTTTTAAATTGGAGTAAAAGGTCACTTCAACTAAAAGGCCTCAAAAGGCCTTCCAACAGTGCCTGTTTTTTGAAGCTACCTGTTTGGAATTTATTGGAAGTACACTAACCACCAGTTTACTCACTGCTTTACTTTCAAGCATAAATTTAAAAAAGCAACACATTCATGTTTATTTTAGGGTACAGTGAGAAGCAGCCCTCCTAGCTTTCCAAAAAGAACCCATCCACACCCAGCTCCCATCCCAAGAGACCACCATCCTTTAGACATTTTAAAGAGGCTAATGCAGAAGTCCTTCAGCTGCAGAAACTTACCAGACCTTACAAATTTCACTAAGCAGCTGTAGGAATCCTACTCACCTGAGTATTTCAAACCTTTCCCTGACCACCTCCTCCCCTGTAAACAAAACAATTTGTTCACTTGATTCCTTTACGCTTGAAGATATTTCATAACAGAGTTCACTAATACTTAATTTCACACCATCTAATTATCAGTGCAACCGTGAGAAGTAGCATCTGCAAAGAGTATTTTTTTTTGTTGTTGCTAGAATTGGTGCATTTAAGAAAAGCTAATGGACAAATTTTCCAAATGTGGTTATTAATCAAATACCTCTACATGTAAAATAACCTTTGAGACTTGTTTTGTGGTTTTAAAAATCTTGGGAGGCACTCTAGACACAGAAACCAAAGTGGGAAGATTTCGAATTTTATTTTTTAAATCAGACATGACAGCTGATTTTATGCAGGTGAATACCAGATATGAATTAAAAACAAACAAAAAACCCACTCTGGTTCTGAATCCCTATGCTACCACTCACTGGCTGATTTAAGCAAACTTCTTAACCTCTATGTTCAACTCTAAAATACAGATAGCACAGGTACCTATACTTCAATGTACCGTTTTAAGACTCATTTATAATGCTTGGTCTGTGGCATGGTAATCATTCAATGATAGTCACTGGATTTTAAAGGGCCCTGTATAACTACTGAAATATACCACAAACAAAATTAAAAAACCTTAAAGGATAGAAAACTATCCCAAGTCTTGAAATACAGTTACAAGTCTTTATCATAGTCACAGAGGCTTAGGCTTTCAAGCTTCCTAAGGAAGGGTTTGTCCAAGACAGGAAAAAGGAAGGTTTTTGGAAATGTTTTCTATACCACCTGCTAGCTAGCTAAAAAACACTGTTCTAGAGTAGTCCTGAAAGAAGTAGACCCTGAATCAGTTGGGGGGAAAAGTTAAGACATTTTGAAGATCTCTACCATTTTCTTAAACAAACAAAAAAACCCTTTATGAAACATTTAGGTACATTGTAAAATCAATCTAATGTGTTGTAAAAAGACCTTGGTGTGATGCTTTTTATTATTTGGCACATTTCTTACTTCAAAATAAAGATACTCTTTTGGGAACAAACACAAAAAGATGGTAAGTGACCTATCTTCACTATAAAATTTAGCCCTTTCCAAGAAACATAAGCATACTAGTTTTGATTCTTGGATCAGTCCGTACCAAAAAGACCTATATAAAACTAACAATATTAAGTCTGTAAAGAACACAATGACCTGTTAACGCCAATTTGAAGTGGAGGAAAAGTTTAAGCAGATTCAGAAAACAAACTATTTTACAGGATTAATTCTCCACTCTACATGTATGAAGAATACACAATTTTAAAAGCCATGCTTGATTATTCCTTCAAAACTCAAAATTTGAGCCTCGAATTCTTACAAAACCAAGACAAACTGAAAGCATACAAAAAAACAATTTGCTCTAATACATTAATAAAGCGGTCTCAGATACTATCTAGAGTTTACCAATTATTGAAGATAATCCATCTCCATCTTTCTTTGCAACAGTTTCAGGACTAATCTCAATTCTGTTTTAAGACTTCCAAGTATTAGCAGCAATTAAAAATACCAGCAGTTGAACTAGGATAACTGCAGCCACTTTTGAATGAGACTAATTTCCTAAACATGATACTAAGTGAAAGAAGCCAGTAACAAAAGTCCACATATTATGATTTTAAATAGGTGTAATTTATGGTATGTGAATTCAACCTACAAGCTAAGCATCTAACAGACATTAAATGAAGTGTTTGCTCCTTAATGTATGTAATTGCTACCTTAATAGAAAAGGTAAACACACCACTCAAACCTAAAGATGAAGTTCCTAAAATTATACAGTTCTTTTCCAAAACAAAGTTTACCATCACCGACTGCAGCTCAGCCACTTGTGTGCCAAGATAAAAAAACAAAACAAACCAACCAACCATGATTATTAAAAATATAAAAGCAATTAGTAATCAGATGGATTTCCAGATTACCATGCAGGTGAAAGAGGACAGAAAAAAAGGTTTCTAGGGTAATCCAATTAGGAAAGCAGTTCTATTATGTACTACTTTTTACAGGAAACTCCGGGCTTTTTCAAAGGCTACTAAAATCAGACCGTCTTCAATAACAGGAAGGTTTTGTTTTTAAAGCTAAAAAAGCAGATAATTGAGTTCTTATAAGGATTCATATTCATCATCCCGAACTCTTTATTCTCAGGCTTTGGCTGTCAACTTTTTTAGGTAAGCAGTGAAAACTACAGACCTAGTATCTTGTGTTCTAAGGACCCAAAAAAATAAAAAAATAAAAATCACCACACCAACCACGTGACTGTGCTTACGGGTTTTTTTTGTTGAGTCGGCTTTTCTTGGCCAAAATACCACCACGATCCTATACTTAAAAAAAAAAAAAAGCCTAGCTACCAAAAGAAAATAAATGCTAACTGTATTTTGACGTATTTTACTTCTACAGCCTCTCTGCACAACATACAACCCTTGGAGGTTTAATATAAAAAGCGAGTGACTGAACTCCTACACAGATTTATGCCCCCACTGATTGTTTTAACAACTATTTTCCAAAAGTATAACTATTACTTAAATCACTACTCAGTGCAGTGCCAAACGACACAAAACCATTGCTAAACCACCCACCCCTGCCCAAAAGTTCAAAAAGCTGTTATGAAAGTTCACTGGACCCAAACGATCTATTTGGAACTGTCCATTTCACATTCCTATTCGAGGTCACCCGCTTTTCTGCTTACAAAAACAATCACCCACAAACTCTTTACGTTTAAGAGAAATATGAGAAGAAATAAACCCTTTGGAAAATCGGTACGTACTCTTTTCGAAGTTCCAAATCTGGAATATAAGGGCCGGCTAAGCGTCCTTTATTCCTCCCCGGAGACTTTCCGTTTATCTAGCTGCCTTAGAGACCAGAGAGCTAAGGAGAGTACGACCCTTCCCCCTCCCCCCACCTCTCCGTCCGGCAGCCAAGCCTGGCTTTAAAACCTTCGCCACCGGGCGGCGGAATTACAAAAGAGGCCGTCTGCCTGCCTCCTTTGTCCTGGATTTGGGAGTTGAGCGCCTTCGTCGCCATTGCTTTCCTGCCCCAGCTCCAGCCTCTCTCATCTTGGGTATCTGCGTCAGAAGTCACTCGCAGTCCCGCCAGCCCAGGTAGCCCAGCCGAAACTGCGGAGGTAGGGAGGCCGCGGTGGGAGGCCAGGCCCATCCGGCGCCATTTCCATCGGGAGCGCGCCCGCCAGCCAGACCCTCCCCCCCACCCAAGTGCCCACCCTTTCCCTGCTCGCTTCGCTCCCCTTCCGGGGCGCTGTGACCTCCCCCCGGCCTTCTAAATCAGTTTTCAGAAGCTGAGGGGCAAAAAGTAGAAAGAAAGAGGAAGGGCGGGAAGCCGAGGTGGCCGCGCCACCGTACCCAAAATGGCGGAGGCCAAACCAGCAGGGAAAGAGGGGAAACGCTGGATGACCCCCACTTCGGGCCTCAGTTTCATCCAAAGAATTTCACCTCAACAAGCCCTCCCCCCGGCAGGCCGCCCTCCTTGAAGTGGGAGATCGCCTAGGAGGCACAGTGTGACTGCCTCCAAGCGGCGACCTCCACACTTCCGCCCCCCCCGCCCCGTCTCTCTTTCGTCCTTCTCCCGACTCCGCTCTCGAAACTACCAGCCCAACCTACCCCCTTTTACTTCAGATACCCTGTCGGGCGACAGTAACACCGACGCCGGTGCTCGAGAGATCGGTCGTGAAGTGGAAGAAGTCGTTCGCCTCGTGTAGCGCTCGCAACAACGGTTCTTCCAACCGTCTCAGGCGGTGGCAACCGCTAAGGGAGCTGCGCAGCAGAGCGACTGGCTTGGGGGGATGGGAGAGAGCGAGCGAGAAGGAGGGGGTGGGGCGAGAGCAACGAAGACCAGCCTGCCAGCTCTCGCGAGACCTGTGATTCGCTCCCGCCTTGGCGCTGGCGGCAAGAAGTGCGCTTGCGCGCTGGTGGGCTGACCAATTTGTTGGGGGAAGAGGTGGAGAGAGGCTGAGAGGTAGTCTAGTTAGGCGCACAGATTACTGTAAAACTGTTAAATGCTTAGAGTTCACCTTTCTGCTTATTCGGGGAGGATGTGAAGTGGTAGTTACAGCCAGTGTGTGTTGAAGGAACCATGGTGTCGCAGTTTGGGAAAGTTTTCCGGTACTCTGTCCCCGCCAAAACCAAATTCGGTAGAGTCCCCACCCTTACCCCAGCGTCACCTGGTGGGAGGGATACCACGTGATACGGAGGCCAAATGCGGGGAGAGATTTCCTTGTCCGGTTTGCGTTATGCGGTAAAAATACTGTTTCCCCTCTGCGAAGACACCAATGTGGCCCCCATTCCGCTTCTAACCTGGGGCTCTTTCTTCCCTGTAGTGGCTCTAGGGCGCCGGGGCTCCGACCCCTCCCTTCAGGCCGGCCTACTCCCTGGGGGGCTTGATAACCACCCGCCGCAGTAGTCCCACGAGAAAGTTACTCGCTTTCTCTTCTTGCCTTTGCCATTCTCTTGCTTTTCATCTCTCCCCTTTATTGACGTATAATTAACATGCAGTGTTACATTAGTTTCAGGTATACAATGATTTGGTAATTATGTATATACTACTCTGCTTCCCAGGAAAACTAGTCACTATCTGTTACATATAACGTTATTACAATATTGACTGGATTCTTTTCTGGGCTTTTCATCTCTGTGACTTGTTTTATAAATGGACGCTTGTATCTCTTAATCCCCTTTATCTATTTCACCCATCTCCTCACCCACCTCCCCTCTGGCAACCACCAGTTTGTTCTCCTTACCGAGGAGTCCATTTGTTATTTTTTGTTTGTTAGTTTCATCTCTCCCACTTCATAACCTCCGGCATAGATCAGGTGCTTAAGACTGACAATTTAGGGTTGTTTTATAAAGAGGGCTTTGCGCTCTTGAAAATTGCAGTACAAGTGACACCTAACACTTTATGGTTGTGCTGTCCTACCACCGAGGTCTTTAGTGACACGTTATGGCTTTTTTTTTTTTAATTAAAAAAAATTGCAAGCCAAATTTCTGTGGAAGGGTGCAGGGCAGTCCTGGTAAAGAGATCAATGCAAGTGCAAACGTAGGAACTGTTCATGAAGTGCAAAGGAGGGAAGGAAATGAATTTGAACACAGGGATGTTCCTATAGTTGAAAATGTGGATAATGCTGTTGAGGGATAGTAAGGCAAGCTGAGGGCTAGGCACAAACTAGCACAATCCCCACCCCCCCACCCCCTCCAACCCCAGGCGGGATATGTGTGATAGTCCACAGGCACTCTTGGCTGCCCAAGAACGAAGGAAAGGACAGAAAACAAATGGTTAAACTGATAAAGTCTCCATCAGTCTACAATTATCTCATCAATAGTATAACCTCCAGGAACTCCCTACTACCTTAATGATAATGCTTTGCTAAAGGGAAGAACAACCTTAGTTTGACAATAGCTAGGCCTCCAGTAATCTGTAAATCCTCTTTAGCACATGGAAATCCCTTTAAGAAATTTTCACTTCACCTCCCCCAACTCCACAGTATATAAGCAGTAACTCTGCACAACCCCAGTGCATCTTTGTGCCCATGGATCTTGTCCTGCTTTAATAAAATCACCTTTTTGCACCAAAGATATCTTCAGGAATTCTTTTTTGGCTCTCGGCTCTGAACCCCACCATCATCCCAAAACCCCAGCAATACTAAGTTACAGACCTTTAATATCCAGCCAGAGACTTTGTGCTTTCTACTACAGAAGTTGGGAAGCCCTTGATGGAGTATAAGGGATATTAGCAGTGGAGAAGCTTGAATAATTTTTTACCCATGAGATCTGCAATGGTTTAGGCAGGAGGCCAGTTAGTTACCTGCATATAATGGAAACTTCCATTTATGGTTTAATTCTCGGCCTCAAACTTGCTTAAGACAAGTGTGAGACAGTAAGAATTGGCTGGGTCATCATGTCCTGATTTTCTTGAGCCCACTCGCCCAAAATACCTCTTGGAGAAAGGGGAATGGGACAGTGTGGTCATCATTACAAGATACAGGAAAACAAAACCTGGATAACATAACATTATGGTTCATATTTATTAAGAGCTTGCTTGAGCCAGTTCTGTGCTCAATTCACTGAATCCTTACAACCTAAAGGATAATTATTGTCCCCATTTTACGGATGAGGTGCCTGAGTTTAGAAGTACAAAAGTTGGGGCACCTGAGTGGCTCAGTGGTTTAAGTGTGTCTGATTCTTGATTTCTGCTCAGATCATGATCTCATGGTTCATGGGTTTGAGCCCCAAGTTGGGCTCTGTTACTGACAGCGTGAAGCCTGCTTAGGTTTCTCTCTCCCTCTCTCTCTGCTCCCCCCCCCCCCCAACTTGTGCTCTCTTTCTCTCTAAATAAATAAAGAAAGAAATATTTAAAAAAAGAAGAAGTGCAAAAGTTGCTCAAGGTCATACACCTAGTGATGGTCATACACCTAGGATTTGAATCAAAATGGTTTTACTCTAGGGGCTAGGGTCTTAAAGTAGTCTAGACCTTCCTGGGGTTGCAAATAACCTAACCATGCATTAAGGGAACCAGTATCATTTAGGAGAATTGAAGTTACTTAACAAACATTACCATCTCAGGACACCTGCAGGTAACATGTTGTTCATTGGCTAGAGACTTTTTTTAAATGATGGGTTGATTGGTTGATTGATGAGAGAGAGAGACCCTAAGCTGGGGAGGGGCAGAGAGAGACACACAGAATCTGAAGCAGGCAGAAGCAGGCTCCAAGCCGGCAGGACAGAGCCCAACATGGGGCTCAAACTCCTGAACTGTGAGATCCGTGACCTGAGCTGAAGTTGGTCGCTTAACCAACTGAGCTACCCATTTGCCCTGGCTGGAGACTTTTAAGGAGGCCTGAAACTTGATGTACTGGTGTCACTGACACCTTGAGCCCCTCCCTTCAAAAAAAATGGAGTTCAGATGGAGTTCTTCCTGTGTTCTAGTTACATCACTACTTCACCTTTTCAGTCTTTCACTTGATTTGGCAGATGGAATGCTGTAATCCCTTTTACCCTCTTGCCTGAATTCAAATAATACATTTAGTGCCTGTTGAGTTTGGCATTCTTTCCACATACTTAATTTGTATGGTTATGGGCCACAATCCTTAAATTATCCTAATGACTTTTCACCACTGAACTGCAATGTTTTCTTTGTGTTTTGGCCACAATTCCTATATATTGTGCACTTTGCTGTTTGCCAGTGTGAATCCTTACGAAGGACTTGAAATTAGTACATGTATTCCTTTTGCTTTTTTATTACAGCAAGTAGGAAGCTTTGAATTAAAGAAAAAGTACACTAGGGGCACCTGGGTGGCTCAGTCTGAGCATCTGACTTCAGTTCAGATCGTGATCTCATGGTTTGTGAATTCAGTTCCTGTATTAGGAGTCCTGTCAGTGTCCACTTTTTATCCTCTGTCCCCCTCTCTCTCTGCCCCTCCCTCGTGCTTTCTCTCTCAAAAATAAAAAATAAGGATTAAAAAAAAAGTACACTAATTTTGAGGCAAGTGTAAGTTTTGAAAAGATTTTTTTTTTAAAGTACTCTCTCCACCCAGTATGGGGCTTAAACCCACACCCTGAGATCAAGAGTTGCACACTCCACTGACTGAGCCAGCCAGGTGCCCCAGAGGCAAACCTAAGTTTTATTTGGCTTTCTATTTTACTGTTTTTCTCAAAAGAAAAAAAAGTCTGTCTACTATTCCCATTGACAAATTGAATCCTGTAAGTCTTAGTGAGATTGGTTCACCACTGCACCAGTGATCCCTACAGAATTGTTTCCAGATTGATCTCTATGGAATTGTTTCCATAGAGATGGTTAGATCTAACGGCTCCCAGCTGCTTTTGGGATTTTGCTTTCTCTTTGTCTTTCTTTCCGTCATTTCAGTGCTTTTCTATTGGTACAGAGTTCAGAGGGACTCTGGAGAGGATCTTGTTGGAGGCCATAATGAGAGAAGAGATGAAAAAGGAGAGGAAACAGAAA